TTCCCACATTTAGCAGATGACATCCTGGTCCCTTTCTAGTTGATCACTTTTTGGAGTTATGCTTCAGCTGACCCCAAAAAAGCCACACGAAGTTCGGACTCTGGAGTCCGGCATCGTTAGTAAAGGCCGAAGCTGAAGAAGTTCTGAAGAATGCCTTGGCTCAGGCAGGGGAATGGAGGCATAGAAAGTTGTAGCAGAAAGGATGCCTGAATACATATACCCTCTGGTTTCTCAACATAGCCATGGTATAGATGGCCCATAGAAATAGATGGTTTACCTATTAATAGCATGGTGATTTTCCATGGCTATGTAAATAACCAGATGGTAAAAAAATAAATTACATGAGTTCTATGGCTAAAATCGGAGGTTATTATTCTTATTGTTTTTTTTCCTTCTGGGGTTAAACGTCTGTTTGGGTTGATCTTGACAAGAAGCACTTTGCGTGAATTTTTGGTTCCTTTATTGGCTTAAATCCAATTTGTTCATGATCTTTGTTTGGCTTAGACCATTTATTCTTGACTTTTGTTGCTTCAATCCGATTCGTTTTTTCTCTGTTCTTCCCGTTGCTCGACAATTTCTGGGTGAATCTTGGGTCGTCTTAGTACTTCACTCCTCATAAATGAAGCTATTTCCTTACCACCTAGTTTTTTTTTTTAGCCGTTTGGCTATCCCAAAATCTCCAGATTTTGGTTCCTAGTCCCCCTATTTCCAGGCCGAGGAGATCAAAGATCTGGAGAAACGCGCGAAACAAAAAGCTGAGGAGCAAAGGGGGGGGTGAAATCTTTCCGAGAACAATCATGAACTATATATATAGTATAGGGTATATATATAGTATAGGGTATATATATATAGTATAGGGTATATATATAGTATTGTATATTATATAAATTATTTAACATATATATATGTATATATATATGTATATTGTGCATATACATTATACCCATCCGCCGTTCATATCCAAGACGCCCATTAATTGGGTTCGGATATGTGATTTCATCCCCTATTAAACACTGGTTTCTGGGGGGGTGTTTGAGATTGGGGAACGTGACAATAACTACCAGCAGGACATCAATCTTGGGGTAGCGTGTTGAAGCCACGAGAGGTTGAGATCCTTTCGAACTGTTAGGGATAGGCAGTGGGAGTTACGTTGGGAGTTGCTGTTTGAAGGCCTCCTGAGTGTAATCCGCCAAACTTGCATTTTGTAAGAGAACCATATTTTTTTTTGCTTGGATCTTAGTTCTCTTGTGGGAAAAAGGAAATCTGTAGGTTACCTACAAAGTGATGCCCTCAATCCCTAGCTAAATTGTTTTATAATTTATAACTAGCCATCTCGGGTCTATGACACATATATCTACAGTTGGACGGGTCTACAAAGGGCATCACATTGGGCCAGACCATGGGCCAGACCATGTTTCAACCAGGGCCAGACCATGCTGCAGCTCCACTGAGGACGGGCAGTTCCATGATGTGAAAAGACCAACAACCATCGGACATGTAATGGGTATAATGTGCTTAACCCAATGCCATTTGCACCATCCCCAAGTTATCACCATTTTTACGGGGTGTATAAAGCATTCCCAAATGGTAGCGATTTATGCCATTGGGTGAATCCCACATGGTAATGAATGGGATATGACAAACTTACTATTTGATCGCCAAGCATTTCAAATTAATGGCTACGAATGGGGCTCCATTTCACCGGCGATGGGGTATAATTCATATCATTCATGGTGGGGGATTGGGATATCATGGGAAAGTCGGAGAATCAACTGGGAAAGCCGTAGGTGAAAAGATCAACATAGAGTTCTAAGCATAGATGGCTTAGATGTTCTAAGATGTTCTAAGCCATTCATAGATGGCGCCACAAAAATCCACCCAAAATCCACACGCAAAAGACGCCGACCGGACGAAGCTGGGCGTTCACATCCCAGATTAGGTCAAGGTCCCTAACCCGTAACGGGTGAATCTGTTGGGATTTGGTGGGCCCAGCCATAAACAAAAGGGTTCACCCACCCATCGTCAATGGTTTTTAAGTTTTTACTCCCAAGAATGGCTTTGTTTGAACAATAAATCGGGAATATGATGGTGGAATAAACTGTCCCAATGGGGACTTCATGAGCCAATTCATGAGCGAATAAAAATCCATGGCTTTGATGGGCATCAAGATGGGATTTAATGAGTCCATCAGTTAGCACCCCAATTTTTGTTGGGGTTTAGGGTAATTTGGCAATTTAGTATCTATTGGAAATGGCGGACCTAGACCAATTTTGAGACCGTAGTAGTCCTCAAAACCGGAACCATTGTCGGAAGCCATCATGCGTGAGACGCAACATCCCCGGCTGGTGACCCGTGAAGCCGTTGAAACCCGGTGGAGGAAACTTCCTGGTGCTCCTCCGCACGCGCAGACTGTGCGAGCAAAAGACATCACCGGAGCATCTAGAGATATCTAGAGGTTGCTATAATGGGCGACATGGATCTTCAAGCCCTTTTTTTGATGACCATTTTAACCATCATTAACCATCATTAACCATCATTAATCATCTATCTTATCTATCTATCTATCCTATCAATTGATGACCCTGACAAAAATGACTGAAAGATTGAGACCAAGTGAAAAGAGTTTGAAATAACATGATAGCTTGAAAATCCAGCAACACAAGGTGAGTCTGTCGCTGGCTGCAGCTGAACATATGTGCAATTTACCCTCCACTCAAACATGGCTGGGATATCTCCTATAAATAGATGGTTATAGCTGGGATAATTGGATAATAATCTATACATATATATGAGCAATTTTCCGTTGCCGTGTTTGATGACCAGAAGGTATAATATATCTATCTATCTATCAAACTATCTATCTATCTATCCATCTTTCTATCTTTCTAGCTTTCTATCCTATCTATCCTATCTATCCTATCCATCCTATCCATCCTATCCATCCTATCCATCCTACCTATCTTATCTCTCTTAACTCTCTTATCTATCTTATCTATCTTATCTATCTTATCTATCCTATCTATCTTATCTATCTTATCTACCTTATCTATCTTATCTATCTAGTCTATCTAGTTTATCTAGTCTATCTTATCTATCTAGTCTATCTAGTCTATCTAGTCAAGCTAGTCAAAGCTATCAAAGCTATCTAAGCCATCTAAGCCATCTAACCTATCCAACCTATCTAACCTATCTAACCTATCTAATCTATCCAACCTATCTAATCTATCTAATCTATCTAATCTATCTAATCTAGCTAATCTAGCTAATCTAGCTAATCTAGCTAATCTAGCTAATCTAGCTAATCTAGCTAATCTAGCTAATCTAGCTAGTCTAGCTAGTCTAGCTAATCTAGCTAATCGAGCTAATCTAGCTAATCTAGCTAATCTAGCTAATCTAGCTAATCTAGCTAATCTATCTAATCTATCCAATCTATCGAATCTATCGAATCTATCGAATCTATCGAGTCTATCCAATCTATCCAATCTATCGAATCTATCGAATCTATCGGATCTATCGAATCTATCGAATCTATCGAATCTATCGCATCTATCTAATCTATCTAATCTATCTAATCTATCGAATCTATCTCTATCTATCTATCGAATCTATCTTATCTATCTTATCTATCTTATCTATCTAATCGATCTAATCTATCTAATCTATCTAATCTATCTAATCTATCTAATCTATCTAATCTGTCTAATCTATCTAATCTATCTAATCTACCTAATCTATCTAATCTAGCTAATCTAGCTAATCTAGCTAATCTAGCTAATCTAGCTAATCTAGCTAACCTAGCTAATCTAGCTAATCTAGCTAATCTAGCCAATCTAGCGAATCTAGCTAATCTAGCTAATCTAGCTAATCTATCTAATCTGTCTAATCTATCTAATCTAATCTAATCCAATCTTAATCTAATCTTAATCTAATCTTAATCTAATCTTAATCTGATCTTAATCTAATCTTAATCTAATCTTAATCTAATCTTAATCTAATCTTAATCTAATCTTAATCTGATCTTAATCTAATCTTAATCTAATCTTAATCTAATCTTAATCTAATCTAATCTTAATCTATTCTTAATCTAATCCAATCTTAATCTAATCTTAATCTTAATCTTAATCTAAATCTAATCGAATCCAATCCAATCCAATCCAGTCCTATCCTATCCTATCCTATCCAATCCAATCCATTCCTATCCTATCCTATCCTATCCAATCCATTCCATCTATCTATCTATCTATCTATCTATGCATATACACCTCTCGGTTGCAGATTTGCAAGATCCCAAACGGTCCTTGTTCCATTGTTACCATGTGACATACCCTGGAGGAGTTGGCGATGATCAGTTTCATCCAGGAATCATCCAAAAAAACATGGCAACCGAAAATGACATCTCTGTCAATGGAGGTTTCCTGAGTCATGGGGGTACCCCTATGACTCATCATCCAAAAAGAACAATAGCTGATTGGTGGTTTGGAACATTTTTTTATTTTCCATCATAAAAAAGGGATGTCATCCTTCCCATTGACGAACTCCATCATTTTTCAAGATGGTTATTGCACCACCAACCAGGTATGAAAAACTGGAATGACATAGGTGTGACGTTCACTGCTTGCATGAACGTCACCGAGATTTTTTTTTGATGGCTTCATGGCACGGACCAGTTGTTTTTTCTTGCCAAGCTCCGCGTCGGTCCAGACCTTCTGGTTCTACACAGTTTCATCACAGGAACAGCAAATTGTAGCACAGCAAATTTTGCAATATTCATTCAAGGCAAATTGCACCATCTAAAGAAATCACCAGACATACATGGCATTTTTTGAGTATCCTTATTATGAACTTTCATATCTGTGACGACCCTAGCGCAACACTCCCACAGCCAAAGAATCGTGCCAGAGTACCTACTGTATAACCTGCTGCCACAGCTCCTTAGTTTCTATATAAACTGGGAAGGTCGTCATGCCAGGGCAATTGACCAATCACTTTCTAGGATCCCACTCAGCTGTCCACATCCGCGGGCGCTTGGGCCCTGCGGTCCCAGGAAAAGGGCCAGGGGATGCCAGGGGTGTCCAATGTTGAGACAGATGTGAAACGAATCTAACCACCCAGAGTTTTCTTGTTCTCAAAAGTGTGTGATTTTTTTTTTCGTTTTTAGCACACCATTTCAGCCTCACGATATATTTGTTTGACTCCTGAAAAGCAGAAGGATCCCTGCCACTGGTTGGGCACCACCTTGGAGCAAGTGAGACCAGCGGGGGGTAGGAAGTCAATGTACCAGATACAAGCAACAGTAGCTATGGAACAGCAATCAGCTTAGACATTATGTGACATGATCGTAACTGCAGCAGGAACTTGTTTTGGCACAAGAAGCAACGCTATGTCTACTCATCAGGACTTCCTACCGGAATCTCATACCAGGACATCGAATAGAATTTGAAAAGATTGTCAAAGAAGGACCTTCTATATACAGGATCGTCACAGAAGAACTTCCTATGAGCATCCCAGAAGAACTCTCATACAAGCACCGCACCAATGCAGAGCACCTTCAAGACTGTAATTTGTTTTTTTCGCAATATTCAAACATTGTCGCTTGAGTGTCCCCTTGAGTTAGCACCAAAATTTAGCCAGATATCCGGCCATGAACAGATATGGATGATGACTAGCTATGACAAACTTTGTGGGGGACGGGTCCGTTGCTATCCCGTTTTTTTTTTTTTCCCCCATATCCATTCATTGGTAGTTCATTCAAAACATATTTTTTTTTTCCCCCAACAACTATAACTAACTGTCGTTCCCATGAAATCAGTTTCCAGGCCACGGCGATGACGTTGGGCCTCCAATGGATCGTAGACAAGTGCCTTGACGTGAAACGCGCGCGAGAAACGGAGATCGTTGATGGTGATCGACATCTTAACATAGCTATTGAAAATGGCAATTTATAGTGAGTTTTCCCATTAAAAATGGTGATTTTCCATAGTTATGTTAGTTAACCAGAGGGTACATTAAGGATGTCATAAATATCATATTGATCTTATCTTATTTGTTGTTATTTTATAATATTTTATATACATACTACACTTACATACACAATATGAAAATCCTGCAGTAGAAAAATGGACAGTTCATTAAGAAAACAACACGCACGTAGCCTCCGCGATGCCGTGGTGGGGGTCACTTTGTGACGATCATAACATGTCGATAAGAATAGTACAGTCCAGTAATCACTAAAAAATGCCGACGAGTAATTTTTTAATCGCTATTTTAGGATTGGATTTTTCTCAGATCTATTATTGCGGCCAGCACTTGTGCTATGCCCCAAACTCTTTTGGGATGATTGTCTCATAGAATTGGATGATGGGAAAATTTACAGGAAAACCCTATATTTGATGGTAAAAACCATGGTTTCCTGTAGATTTTCCCTTAAACCAATCCAATGATTGTCGGGAACCTCATTTTTGGTGACCATTACAGTACTCTGTGGCCTTCCACTGTGAGATGGTTAAACTTCATGTCCCTCATGAGGCTTCGTGAGGGACGTGATTGTTGACATCTGCGGGGATTCGGCTGAAGTCCTTTCGCTGTTTTCAACACTCTTTACATAAAGCCCTAAAGAAAACCTACAAAAACCCTAGGAAAAACCCTGAATTAACGATGAAGAAACCCTAAATGAACCGTAAAGAAACCCTAAAGAAACCCTGCAAAAACCATATGAACGTTGTATATAGTGAAGTACCCGTGGGGCGTAGCGCACGTGCTGTGGGTATTCTTGGTTACTAAAAGTAATTCTTGATAGCATATAGATGGACACTCATTATGTTAAACTATTGTTAATTATAATCATGGTAATAGTAAACATATTGAAAACTAGATTTAATTAATAACAATAGTTCACCATATTTAGAATATATATATATTATACGAATAGACCATAGTTTAACATATGGGTTTTTGTTACATAGTTAAAATGGTAAAATAGTTAAAATGCTTCATCTCCCTCTAAAATTATGGCTGACACTTTCCCGGGCCAACCAAGGATCACTTTTCCTTCACCGCCATCCTCCTACTCCCTGACGGTGCCTGATGTTTTCACTTTCCACGGTCTGATGTCTGAAAACAGCAGCATATACTTCCATGTACCGAATATGGGGGTTTCCATAAATGGTGGTACCGCCAAACGGATGGTTTATAATGGAGAATACCATTAAAATGGATGATTTGCATCGGGTACCGCTATTTCAGGAACCCCCATATAGATAAGCCATGTCCGCTTCATTTGTTCACAACCTGAAGGACGGTTTGTAATTGTGCCGCGTTTTTTCTCTGCCCGCTGTGTCAGAGATCCTAGCAACCAGGGTCAGGGAGTGAGTCTGCAACATTTAGGGGAACCAGGTCTGCAACATTTGCTCCGGTGGGAACCGGTGGGTTGGGGCAAGAAAAAACAAAGGCCTTCAGGTAGCACGAGGAGTTTTTGACCGTTTTCATGGGATGATCAGCCAGTCTAAAAAACAGCGCTAATAGGTACCATTGATGACGTCTCGAATGTTGGAATCTCGCTGCTGTACACGCGGAAAACATGGTTGGAATAACATGGAACAACATCTCTACCGAATGTCCAGAGGAAAAACATTTGAAACACTTCGACTCGAGTACAACCAATGACTGGGATTGCCATACATATGTTTGATAGTTCCAAGTTCCATCAACTGATCATGTAACAGTCATCTTGAATAGAATGTGATTCAGGTCGGGATCGTTGTTATCATCCGACCCTGTTTATTGAGAACACTCCCAAATGTAAGCTGAATGGTTTCAAGCAAGTGCCTATCTTCGCAGCACCTATATGGTGTGTTCAATTTTTTTCAGCTGCCACTTTTTTCCACCTCCCCGGTGTTGATGAAAGAGTGGGGTATCTGGGTATCGCTGCAGTCTCACCCGGAGCTCTTCTTTGTGCCCTCGAGAAATAAATCATCAACGCATCCAGGGGTGCGCCCTCGTTGGACATGGCGAAAAATGGTGGTGCCGAAATTGGTAACAGTCTTTCTGGATCCATGTTGAGGAATATCTGATATTTTTCGGGAACACTGATTTGGAATTTGGAACTCAGGATTTTTGGATCCAGCTTTAGAATGAACAGACCAAGCTGCTGTCAGGAACCCTCTTGGATGTTTGCCAAAGCCCAATCAAAAACCCTTCCGTTGGCGTGGCATCAAGTTTTTGGAGAGGCTGCTGCTTTTTTTTCAACGATGGACTCTTCAATTTCAATTTCTGGGGCATGATAGCGAACTCACAAGGAGCTCATGTAAATGATGGCTAGCAAGCTAGTATCCAAAATGGGCTTATTTCCAGCTCCAAAATGCAGCAAATAGCAAGGAAGACGGAAAGAACAGACAACTCCCTCCAAAAACCAGACAATTCCGGACCCATTTCTGATTTGGGCATTACTATGACTGTTATCACTATATTATTTGTCTGTAATACAATATTGTAATCTTCAATTAATATCTTCCACAATGTCAATCCCGGATGAACACACCCTGGGTGATTTTTGGGATTGGGGGGGTACCCCAAAAAAGTGCGTTTCTGAAATGGCACCAAACCCCGTTTTTTTCACGGCCCAGTGGTGGATAATTATCTGGGGTTGACATTTATTGCACAGAGTCATTACCCTCTGGTAAACTAACATAACTATGGAAAATCACCATTTTTAATGGGAAAATCCACTATTTCTATGGCCATTTTCGATAGCTATGTTAGTTTACCAGAGGGTATCAACTGGTATCCATTATCCATTATCCATTCAAACAATTATCCATTGAGCCATTGAGCATGATCCATTCTCCAGTCATGATGGATGGTAGACAGTATCCAACGATATCACAGGGCTTCGAATCAGTTACATCCTAAAATTGGAAATAAATTGGAAAAAAATTGGAAACTAGTTCGCCGGCCCCTATCAGCTTTAGGGGCCAATTTGAAACCACGTACCTTCTGCTAAGCTAACATCGCTATGGAAAATCGCAATTTTTAATAGATCAATCATCGAACTAAATGGGTCATTTTCACAAATTTTCCATATCAACTGTTAAATCAACAGAGGTAGACTCCATGTTTTATAGGTCAATCAACGGACTGGGCCATGGCTTCTACTTCGCAAACTGTAACAAATTACCGGAAGGTAGTCCATTGATTCATAGATGATTTTCCTAAAATGTTCCATGAATCCAACATTGAGCCAATCCCATTGAATCCATATCCGATCGCGGCTATTTTCCATTCATCCACAATTGATAAATGATTCTACTATTGAATCAAGAGATTACTAATAGACATTCTCCTAGCATTTTCCTAATTATTGATATATAGATATTATAGGTATGTTCCATCAATATCCCAACTCTTGTTGGTTAAATCCCTATAAATCCCTATCAAAGTAGCACCAAATCCCTCTAAATCACCATTCACCATTAAACATCCGTGCGCTACCGCCAGGTACCCTGCATGCTCTACGCAGTGCGGCAAGGGGCTCCTGCCCTGAAGCTCAGCGGGCGAAAGAGGGCCGAAAGAGGGCCGAAAGAGGGGAACAAACTAGAGATTTACATGGATTGACCAGATTTCACTAGGGAAACTGTAGATTTCACCGGGGAAATGTGGATTTCACCAAGGGAAACTGTGGATTTAACTAGAGAAAATGGGTCTGTAATGGTGATATGGTATGATATGGTGAGATATGACCAAAACATACATGAATTATATTTGGGTGTCTGAAAACGGCTGGTATAACCCACTAAAAATGGCCAAAGGATAAGATATTGATATTATGTCATGATGATTCAGAAGTAGATTTAATGGTACCGTACTTTCAGACAAAACCAATTGGTTCCACAACTCTGCCAGGGTGCATTTTCCAGTTGAACCAAGCACCCATGAAATCGGATTTTCTCCAACACATGAGCCCTAGTTCAAAATATTTAAGATGCATTTCTTGTTGACTGGGTTGTGCATCACTCTTAGGGCCAACTCGCCAACTCCAACTGCCTTTGAAGTTCAAGTGACTAAGTGGAATGTTCCCGAAATCTGCAATCACTCTTAATCGCTTAGTGTTGGATCTATCCATTTTGGGGGAAGACTTCCTTGGCAGCTTGTAGATCTGGTCGGACGAAGAGGTAGCTGAAACTATAGCAATTGTGCTACATTTTTTGGTCCGGGGGACGATTTCCTGAAATTCTCCCAGTTCGAGGTGCTGTTGGTGCATGCTCACAGCAATGGCTGTGACATTGGAGATATGCGGCAGACGCTGCAGAGCATCTCCGAATCTTTGAAAGTGCATGTGCTGCCCTCAGTCCGGGTGGGTCTACCCGGCAAGGCTAGGTTTTGGGTCTTGACAAAACACAGGGCACACGGCACATTTCTGGAGCTGGTATGAAGCTGGATCCATGATAAAAAATCAATGGGTCATCAGAAGAAAAACACATATTCCAAGCATTTTATGCGAATGATTAGCCCCTCATCCACAGTGACGGTGGGATTTGGAAGGATACTTGGGACACTTGGGTATGAACAAAACTTGAAGACCCGTTGGGAGACTAGATTCGTTGGCAATTTTACTGCATGCAATTTGGAGTATGAACATAGTACACATCATGTATAATGTAGGTAAAACAATAATAAACCACCCCCAATTTCACCATAAACAGGTGGTATAAACCATTCCCAAATGGGTGGTTTATGGCATTGTTTTACCCACGTTACACATACATTTTCACCATGGAAAACCGTAATCCAGGTCTTTTGGGAACCAAGCCATGCCTCGATCATTCGAAGCACAGGTCATGTCATTCGAATTTCCCGGCTACGGCTTGCATTTGGGCAATGCAAACATGCGGCCCCTTGGTTGCTTTGGTGTATTTTTTGGGAAGCACGCTGTTTCTGGTGTATGCTGAGGTTTTTCGGCGATATCTGGTCGAAAAAGATAAACGAACAGTCCCACGTCACGTCACGCAGGTGAACTCTATTGACCTCTCAATCTTGGTGAGGTCGAACAGAGATTTTGATGCCATCAAGTGATCACCCAAAATCAAGGTGTCGCCATTTTTTTGGGTTGAAATCCTCAACTAGTGGACCTTGGACATTTACACAATTCTTCGTGGGTATACGTTATTTTTGTGTATATATTTTTTGCATTTTTTTTCTATCCCTTTTCTGTTCTACAAATATTTTTGTTGTTTTGGGAGCTCTTGATTTTTACACCCATCTTTTTGTTAGAAGTGGTTATTACTTCTTAGACATAGCCTCCAGCCACTGACAGTGGGTAAGGTTGATAGGAACCCCCGAGTGGTTAGAGATGATACTTCTGGTGAAGATTGGCACTTCACAACATCATGGTAGTTGCCGGGTAAGATTCACCCTGCCTAAAGCACCACTATCCAATTACATCCCATTACATCCCATTACATCCCATTACAGGATGGTTATCTATCATTGTTGTTCTCACTGTCACTATTAGTGTTTCTTTCTCTCTGTTGCCTCTTTTTACTCCCATGCTACTTATAATAATGTAACAGTGTAACATCTATCTAGATCTAAATGGAGCTTATTCGGATATTTTTCATACAGGATTCAGTCATAATTATGCATGTTATTCGGATATTTTTCATACAGGATTCAGTCATAATTATGCATGTTATTCGGATATTTTTCATACAGGATTCAGTCATAATTATGCATGTTATTCGGATGTTTTTCATACAGGATTCAGTCATAATTATGCATGTTATTCGGATATTTTTCATACAGGATTCAGTCATAATTATGCATGTTATTCGGATGTTTTTCATACAGGATTCAGTCATAATTATGCATGTTATTCGGATGTTTTTCATACAGGATTCAGTAATTATGATCCATATGGATTCATATGGATTCATCAGCTCAGTGATTCAGCTGTTCTGCCCATGGGCCAATCCCCATCGAGGGCGATCGATGACGCCGCAGCAGCGGTGCTGAATCTTGGAGAATTTGTCCCATGAAATGAGGACAATTTAATGGGGATAGCATGGGGATAGAATGCCGTAGAAATCACCAATCTTATTTTTTTGGACAGCAATACAGAATCTGAATGATAATGATGATAACTTGTTGGTGGTTTCAAACATGAATTTTATTTTCCATAATATATAGGATAATCCTTCCATTGACTATATCATATTTTTCAGAGGGGTAGGTACACCACCAACCAGGTAATAATAATGATACAGTAATGATAATACTGAAATATCCATGAATGCCGGGAATCATAATGGGATTTGGGCCGAAATCCAGCTTTCTTCCGGAACCGGGAAAGACCAGCAGCGCAGGGCCATGCAGATGACTTGTATCAGTGGTGATATAGCATGATTCGGATTGATTAGGCATAAACTCATAAGGCATCAATAGACATCATTTGACATCATCAATTAATTGTATATGTATACCTGTATATATATACATACACCTACAGTAACAGTTACCATAGATAACTATAGCATGATGTTTCCTGGCAGGTCTTTCGTTTCTTGTTTCATTTATCCGTCATGATCCAAATCGCGACTCACCGGCGAAGTTGATGGGTCAACGCGACACGGTGTCATCATCATGCCATGTTTGATGACGCCATGTCCGCTATACCGTATTTTGGGGGAAGGACTTTTCATAGATCCCAGTAGATCTTTACAAAAACAATAAAAAAAAGGGATCCCCCGAAAAACGGGAAGTCACAAATTTCTATCTTTGGGGTATCCCTATGGAGGCCCACGCGTGTGGGTGACAAACCCAAGGAACTACATCTCCAATGAGCTGAAAATCAACCTGTCGCAGGCTGCAGTTTTTTTGGGCCCCCATAAAACCCAACTCCCATTGGCAAAAGCCAGAACATTGGTATAGGTGCTTATAACATCTTATAACATCTTATAACCTCACAAGATGTCTAGTTCTGTTATTACGACAGTTTTTTGATATCTCTCATTCTTGCTGATTCCTGTAGAAACCCAGTCATGGTACTGATTCATGTCGGCCTGGATCGATTCCCAACAGTAGCAGAAGTAACGGCAGAACCTGCGTCTATATCTATCCGTTCTAATCTGATTCAATTGAATCTAGCCCAATCTAATCTCATTTGATCTAATCTAATGTAATCTTCATCCTGACTTTTCTTACTGTAACTTATCTGTATGTGCCATGATCAAATGTTGGATTATATATCAAAAAGGAACTTTATTATTGCCGAAGGATTCCCAAGTTCTTGGTAGGATGACTCTGCCATTGGGCCAATATTTACTTCAATGTAGACTGACCATGACACGGAACCCGGGTTAAGTTATGTTTGTTTGTTTATGTTTATCCCAGAAAAAAAACTATTTTGATAATGCTTGATATATCTACCACAAAATCCACAAAGCCAACAGTTAAACTGCTGGAATAAACCTACTGAGCCAACTTATACCGTTTGTACCTGGGTTAAACAGCATGCTTACTTACTGGGATCTTAACTTATAGGTATGTATCTAACTTATACTTATCATTGGCATGTTATTATGTATATCCATTGTATATCCTAACTTATACCACAATTTTCATATGACTTTACTTCTTCAATCCTTAATTTCAGGGGATATACTCCCAATTTCTATGGCTTTCTATGGTTTCCTTACGTAGCTCCAGTAGCTGGAATTTGCTGCAGGTCGTTTGGTACGGACGATCCATTGGCAGCGGCCCTGCATTGAGGGCAGTGCATCGCATCACCCAGGAATTGGGCGGCACGTGGCCAGTGTCGGATGAACCATGGATGATGTCGATCACTTCTCCATGAATGTCCCATATGTATTCCATATGTCCGAAGAATTGCTGGATGTCCAGTTCTGGATTTTCCATGGAATTTTCCGATCATTTCCCAGCGATGTCCGACTGGATTTTTGCAGGAGCTCAAGCAGAAGCCCGGTGGCGTGGTGTTGCAGTGCGGCTTCGCCAACTTTCCGGAGGCCGGGGGGGGGCACCACCGAGAGTGGCCGTATGGATTTTCGATACTTTGGATGGCCAGTTATAAGTTGGTTAACTTATGAAAAATAGATGCTTAATGGAGATTTTTTTTTCTTATGGATTTTCCATTGGTTTGTTTGTAAACTCCTATCGATGATGGATAAGTTGGAAGATATGATAGAATATGATAGATATGGATTTTCCTATCGATGATGGATAAGTTGGGTATAAACTCATGATTTTCCTATCATTACATCCCCCGAATCGTTCCCCAAACGTTAAGCAAGTTATTGCGCCAACTTAGCTTGCGTGCCTGGGACTCACCCTGGGAATCAACATCCGGTCCAGCTGTATATACCATCCGGGTCCCGTTGGGTTTTGACCCCACCAGCGTTAACTTACTGGTGCGTTTTACGTAGGGAATGGATGGGTTGCTGGGGTTTGCTGGGGTTTGCTGGGATTATTATTGATAGTTAGCCAGTGGATCATTCCCGAAACTTCCCTAAGCACAAGTAAGTTAATGATTGGTTTGTCTGATTGTGGAGTACCCCTAGATCCACTGGTGATCATCAAAAGTGGCCATAAATTGGTGGCATACCCGGCATACCCCATTTCAAGACACACCTTATATGATTCTCTACGGATAGCCAGCATATGATCGTTGATTTTCCTGATAATTTTACCTTATAGAATTATGATTTCCTGTTGATATTATTATCCACTATGATGTCATATCCACAATGATGATTTCCACTATGATTTTCACATTATGATTTCATATCCAATATTATATTTCCAATCCACATATAATTGATTTATGATTTCCGATATCTATGTCATTTCCATATGATGTAATCATATGTAATCCACATAGATAATATCATTTTCCAAATTGTTTTCAATGATCTTGGGTACATTTTCACAGATATTTTCTATTCGATTTGCCGATGATCCATTCTCCCATAGATATTTTCAGGTACCGTCTGGTAATTTAACATAGCCATGGAAAATGGTCCATAGAAATAGAAGTTGATTCACCTCGTAAAAAAATGGCGATTTTCCAGTTCGCAAACTGTTAAATTACCAGAGGGTATATTCCATTTCATCCCCATTGCTAGGTAAATCCCAATGAACGCCTGTTAAATCCCATTAAATCCCTATTAAAACCCATATAAATCACCATTTTCCCATGGTTTTCCCATGGTTTCCCCATGGTTTTTGCTCCACAACCCAGACATTTTCCGCCAAAAAAGGTGGCGGGGCACCTCTTCGGTCGCCTCGCGAAGCGCCTAGTGAGCCGATTGTGGCCCAACGAGGCCACGAGATGGGAGAAATCCATGACTTTCCTATCTATTCTCTATGGGATAATTATCTATGGATCTAGGCCAATCTTACATGGATACTTTAGTCCTCTAGTCTTTTGGTATCAATAGGAATAGCCTATAGCCATTCAACTACCCTCTGGTAAACTAACATAGCTATTGAAAATGGCCATTTATAGTGGATTTTCCCATTGAAAATGGTGATTTTCCATAGTTATGTTAGTTATCTATTGACTATCTATGGAAATATTTATAATAGATGGATAATCTATGGATTTTCCTATAGACAATTATATATATTAGGGAATATTATCTATTATTTTATATCTATGGGATAATTATCTATGGATTAAATTGGGACATATTTATGGAACTATTTTTGGATATCTATGGAAATATTTATAATATCTATGGGATATCTATGGAATTCTTTTTTTTCATTTATGGATATTGATCCATTATATGGATCCTAGCCTATCATTCTAGGAAATGGATATATGGATACCTATATTTAAGAATTTTTGATATCCATGATAAACATATGGAACATCATATGGATAATATCTATAGAGTGGAAGATCAAAAAACACGGAATACCTATAAAATGGAACATTTTTGGATATCATTAAACAACATGGGATAAACATGGGGAACATCTATGAAGTTTTCGTTCATATGATTTCAATGATCTACATGAATCTACATTGCTTTCCACATCTATGTTAGTTTACCAGCGGGTATCACGTTTTATTTCTTTGTAAGAGAGCTGGGTAGATCAATGTTTATATGTGCCATGACCGATTTCCACATGTGCGAGGGCCAAGTTTCTTGAGTGAGTTGCCCGACGTCGTCAATCCATTATCAGGATTTATATGCCCGTCATAAGGATTCCCATTGTAGGATCGATGACCATATACCATCATATACCATGTTTTGACAATGGCACATATGGGGAATCATCCACAAAATGGCTGGGCGTCGTGGTTATGCTTGGTTCCATTTCAGGAGTTTAATGATGGGTACTCTTAAAAAAATGCCATGGTCAATACATGGTTTGTTTTCCATTGAGAAGGGGATTGGAGATATTTCACTAGCAACACTTGCATATTTCTAGTGGGGAAATGGATACAACTTGACCTCCGTAGAATGGTGAATACCTAGCCAGGTATAGTCTATAGTGATCATAATCATTATAGCCAGTTTTGGAGAAACATCCACACAGTTCCAGTTGTCCTTTTCTTGTCGGCTGGTTGACAAATTGATGAGTTTCCATTAGTCGTTTGTTTGGCAAAAAAATGATGCCAGCCCAACTGTTGATTTCTCACAAAAAGGACATCGTTGTTGACCACGGAAATTCACGGTCCCAGCCCTGGGCACAAGATTTTAGAGATTTTCAGATCCCAGAACTCGATAGTAGATCTTGAAGAAGTGTTAAACATCTTAGGGCCCACCATTAAACATAACATTAAACACGTTAGACGTTTAAGATGCTTAAACAATCTTGCGATATCTTGCGTGTGTACGTCACCTTAGGGCCCAGTGTCACAAGAATTTCTCAACACATAAATGAGGCTTCACAGAGGCACCAAATCACAGTGGTCAACTGAACATTGACCAAAAGCCTGGTTTTTCAGGGTTTTTCCATCGGGGGTAAACAAATACCAACATATGCCATTTTTTTTTTGGGGTTATTAATGAACTGCATAACAAAACACATATCATTTATCATTTATCCTATTACAGAACTGCATCCATGAACAGAACAGCTGGTTCTCAATCAACGCTGGGAGATCCCCAAAGTTCGAGCATTTTTTCGCTATGTATGGATCCAGATAATTTTACCATCCCCTTAAATTTGCCATAAATGGGTTGTATAAACGAGTATAAACTCTATCAATTTTGATGGGTTGTTTATTATTGCGTTACTAAGATTAGAGATTATTTGGAGGATCTTGATACGGTCAGGTCGGAGGATCCTGTTGGGGTCTGACTGGAATTCAACCAGGGTTGGCGTTTGATTTGGGCCGTGTCTGAAGATCGGGTAACAAACATGTTGAGACATGGCAATTTTCATAGGGAACATGATGATTATATAATTTATAATCAATATTGACCAGTGGGTTTAATATTTTTAAGGGTATCTATTTCTTTGCATCCTTTTGGATGGTATGTAGCGATCTGAGAACGGCCGACATGATGGATACCCAAGAATTGCCTTGAATCAGCTTTGGGATTTATGATCAGTTATCTAGTCTTGTCCAAAACAGGAGTATACGGCCAAAATTCCATGCTGAATCAAGTTAATCATCATGTTCCCATGTTGGGTACCCAATTTTCATAGAACTCCAGTGAGCCATGTTGAAAAGATGGATCATATGTATGTATATACATGTATATATATATATATAAACACTTATAATTACAACATATACACATATATCATATATATGTATATATATATATGTATGTATGTAATGTAATGTAATGTAATGGAATGTAATGCAATGTATTGTATTGTAGTGTAATGTAGTGTAATGTAATGGTATGTAGTGTAATGTAATGTAATGCAATGTATGTATGTAATGTATGGTATGTATGGTATGTATTCATATTGGGATGGTCGCCATCAATCCTTCTGAAGATATTTGGATTGACCTACCTATGATCTACCAGGCCCTGCCTGGAATGACCAGGGGCCACCTTCATCGCCAGGCCATGCTGAAGGAGTTGAATTGCCCTGTGCTGTTGATTCATGGACGTCAGGGGCACCCTGGGGACCCTGGGTACCCCCGGGGCCCTCGGCACGGGTGGAGTTGGATACGGATGGTATGTCATGGTCCGGGTTGGGTATACCCGGCCTGGTAAACATACAAAAAACGAATGGAACATCACCATGTTTAATGGAGAAATCAGGGAAATCCACTATTTCTATGGGCCATTTTCAATAGCTATGTTAGTTTACCAGAGGGCATACCTTTTTGTCACCGGATTTTGCACAATTTTCATCGTCCAATGGATTCATCGTCGATAGATGGGGCATCATCCCTACAAACCACACATGAAATCAATGATTTATACATGGGTAATAAGGGAATCTATTTCTGGTTTACAAATTGGAATGACCTGAACTTTGCCACCAGAAATAGCGGATACGGCCACACAAAAAGTGTCGATCATCATTTTCTCCATTAAAGTGGCCAGAAGTTTGGACCGCGAACAGTTTAACAAGCAAGTTGATGTAGGCAAACCATGGGAAAACCATGGCAAAACATGGAGGTTCAAACTTGGGGATCCTGTGCAGAGCCCTTTTTTTGAAAGCATTACCTTGGGGATGAACATCAGAAACACTGGTGGTGTAAGGGATGAGATCACATATTTGGGATCATAGACTGGGAGTATCGAATATGAGGGGATTATTGTGAATCCATATGATCTTGTCCATAAAATCATGCGTGATGAACATATGATTCTACAGAAGCACATCGAAATTCATGTTGAATCACCATTAAATCCCATTAAAACACCATTAATATATACATAAAAGAGAGATGTGTTGAAAAAATCACGATCATTTGAGAGGAAGCCGCCGGAGCTTCCAGCCATGGATGACACCGAGGTAACGACACCATGATTCCAATCAACCAGAGCGAGAAACTCTGGGAAGCCGTTGCTCAGAAGGCTTGGGGCTGGATCTGGAAGCCTGGAAAATCGCCTTTGGCCCTTTGGGCAATTTGGGCCATTTGGGCCATTTGATCCAATGAATGGAGGGGTTGGAGGGGTTTTAAGATGAAAGTTTAAGCACCAAAAGTGAGGCGTATGGGTTACTGATGGTTACTGCATCATTTTAAACAACTGATATTGAAAGTTAAAGCTGTTAAAGCTATTGACGGGTATGGTAGTTGGGTAGTTGTCACCCCATACTAGTCTGAGTCTAAGAATATCAGGTAGTGGATCGTCGTGGGCCATACGTCCCCCTGGGTGGCAATGAAAAGTCTGAGGTTCATCGTCAGAGAATGTAATTAATGGATTATACCCGGTAAATCTTAGATTGGTTATTCTCAAATGATACATTTTCAAGGCAGATCAGAGTCCCTGACGGTGTGTCTGATTAAAAGGGGATGGACTCCCCAACGGCCCATTTAAACAACATTTGGAAACATGATGATAAACCTGTGGATGGTTTGCCATGGTTTGCCCATCATTTTTCAGACAAACCGATGAATCATCACTTTTTTTTTGTACCATCTGGTTATTTAACATAGCCATGGAAAATCCACCCATTTTTAATAGGTAAACCATCTATAATGGGCCATTTTCCATGGCTATGTTAATCATCACCAGAGGGTAGTTCCACCGAAATCTCGCCATCCCCCCCGAAACGCGCAGGATCTGAGCCATTTTCACACCTGTGACTGCGGCCACAACGACGCTTGGCGAAAATGGGGACATTTTCATCGACGTGGTTCGTGAATGAAGCTGATGTTTGATCTTTTCTTTTCCAGTGACTCCACCATTTGGGAGAACAGCCCTTAGATGGTCTATAAAAAACGGCCAGGAATTTGCGGGTTTCAATAGCTGGCCTTCGTCTCACAATTTTTCAGAGGACTACCACCCACCCAAAACAGGGTACACAGTCTCATCAAAATTTGAATGACACCACAGATCTTGGTTATGCTTTGATAGGAGACCAGCCTGCTTTCGGGTAATTGCCCAGTCTTTATCTTCCATTAAGTCACATTCCTCATGTTGTTGAATCTCCTCGTTTTGGTTTCTTTAAATGTGTATGGATCAAAATTGGCTACAGTATCCGGATAACTAGATGGTTGATATTAGACTAGTTACTGTGGTCCCCTTTGTCTTAAAATTTGGCTAAATCCTAACATAGGGATGGGTCGACTCTTATGACGCGCCCCCATTTGGGGTAACCAAGATCCATAACTACTAGCATCCAGCTGTTTTGATCGTCAAATTCCAGGGTGGGTTCCCGCTTTTTTTCCATACAAGGTGGTGCCCTGCAGTTCTAAGTTGGTTTATAAAGACATCTAAATATGGATATATCTTCCACAAACCCACCAGTTAATCTACCAAACTCAGTTCCAACTTAGCCAAGGGTTGGGGGGCACCATGTTGTATCCCCATTGGATATCTTCGCTTGTCATAAGTATATAGATTCCATTAGATCCCATATTCCCATTAGATTACCAGATTTACCCTTGCTCCGCTGCCGCACAGGATTTCAACTTTCGCCGCTGCACATTAAGACCCATCTACGACTTCTTGCTGGGGGCCGGGGAACGCAGATTTTCCGCAGAGGAATCCCAAACACGCGCATAAGAACGGCCTGTAACCAATAACAAAGCTAAGGCATTAATCAACAACAAAGCAGTAGTACCCTCGTCCAAAAGAATTTCTGACTGCTGGGTATGAGGATGGAATTGAATGAACCCTCCTTTGGGTAAAGGTCTAAGATTTGAGGCACTTTGTCGTGCACCCACGACACCAATGATTTTTCTCATTTGATTGTCATTCGAGTGTTTCATTTTACCCGCCTGTAATTTAACGTGGCTATGGAACATCACCATTTTTTATAGGTACATAAATCATCATACATCCTCTGTAAATGGGCAATTTTCCATAGCTATGTTAAATAGCCAGAGGGTAAATCCAGTTTGGGAACCCACAGTTCCCCCCTATCGGTGTCGATTTTAACCAGTCCTCATCTTGTTTCATCTATCTGCCAGAAACCTTCATGCAAGGAACTGTTCTATTTGTGTAGGATAACCCTATTTCAGGATAGACAAGTAATGGATCACTATTCAGGATTTTACCAACAAATCTATCCTTTTTGGTTGACATTTTTATATGTCAACCATGGAAACCGGTTCGATTTCCCATGGGTTTTCCACTGAAAAGATCATCTTTTGAAGGGGTCATGAGTCATGACCATCGATGGAACTGGGAATCTCGTTGAAATCGTTCGTTTAAAACGATCCAAGGAACCTAGTGGTGCCCCATAGTTGAAGAAGTTGGTTTGTTTCACTAACATTTCACTAGGGTTTATGGATGTTTATGGTTATATATATATATAACTACGTAATGGTGGTATCAACCAACAAACATAGCTGGGGGAGCAGCACCTTGTACAAATCACCTCTTAGCTACTAAAGCTGTCAGGTATTGATCGGATTTTTCTGGCTCACATCACTATCTATTTCGTTTAAGATTAACGTCATATTAATCTCCCTTTTATCAATATCTTTTTGTTGTTTGGTATCTGCAGTATCCCCCTTGGATTTAACATATGATTTCAGATCCTAATTGTTCCACTCGTCAGACGAAGTCGTCACGATCCAGGTTGAAACACAGCGAGAAACACGGCTTTAAAAATCCAATCCTCTCAGGTCATTTCGTCGCAGGGTTTCCCTGCGACCAACTTTCAAATCGACCTCGAAGCCTCGTGCAGAGCGTTGCCTGACGCTGCAAGCTGCGGATGGAGGGGTCGAGAGTCCCATGACTTTGGACTACAAGGAAATATATGTAATTATGTATGGATATATATATATATATATAATATTATGTATATATATATTATATATATTATATTATATATATATATATATTATGTATATATATATATATGTATCGTAGCTAGTGATCATTTATCATCTATAGTCTATATCATATTCTAATGATATATTTGTAAGTTTGGATGTTTGCCGGAAAATCATCTACTACAGCCGAAGAGAAAACCGGATGTTTTTTTTTTTGATTTTTGCCGGAAGCTGTGAGCAATGTTCCAGCAAGCCCTGCTGGTTGATGTTGGTTGATGATTAGTGTTGCCCTATCCAACATATTTCCAGGTTTCCCCAAGTTTCGCTTCTCTATCTTGGGGTTGCAATCAGAACGATCACCTCCCAAAGGCTGATTCTTTGTCAGCCCATGAGTGAGGTTATGGAGTTATGGGGCCTAAGGCTAAGGTCTAATTCTTAGAGGATTAACATCTGTGCAGCGGTCAATTTACTTGGGTAAATTGCTATAAATTGCTCAGTGTTTAGGATGGCCATGACCATCCATTTGATGTTTGGATTCCCACAGAATGGGATGGAAGCACGCAAAAGAACGCAAACATGAACAATGGATTAGAATTATGGCAGTGGCAATCATCGCACTAGGATCAGTAGGCAAACCGCTGGTTGACATTTGCGACGCCCTGGCAGTTGTTTCAGACAGGGAATTTCCCGTTCTGAGGCCATGGAGTTGTATCAAAACTCCCTGTGTTGATGATTAGTTTGGGGTTTACACTAAATATATTGGGAACTATCATGGTCAATTCTAGAAATCACCATCAAACCTAGCATTGTAGTGAGTTTTTCCATGTTTTTCCCATGAGAATCTCCATAGATCTCAGGGATCTCAGAATACAAATCCCCATCTTTTTCCAGATTCATCCATTATTTTGCTTGACTTTCCAGTAAACTTGACCTTGCTCGAAACCGCGCTGAAACTGTGGGCATCGGTCCTTGCCCCCAGGTTAGTTCGGCACATTGGGCCCTTACGGACCAGAATTCCGGTGGGCTGACCAAGAGATCTCCCCGGTGTCTGCATGTCTTCATTTGAGAATGGTTAGGACTCACCAGTAACGGTTCGATTCAATACATATCCATCCTATCCTGGTTCCCCACCAATGATGGTTGATTGTTGATTGATGGTTGATCCATTATCTATAATATATATATATGATTAATGGTGAATAATGATGCATAATGGTACTTTTTGGGGTAATCCCATCCCCCTAACATTGAAAACACACTTGTACGGTCCCAAGTACTGCAGTTTCATCCCCTACATCCACCATGGTTTCTGGGGGGTACCGCAAACAATTGAAAAAGTGAGGCAGATGAAAGACACTGATGACAACTCAAAGCTTGGCAAACCATTGTCGTGGGCAAAAAATCATATTGTTGTGTTGGAGTAGATGGGATTGCTGCATTGATTATTTTTGGTGAAGCTTCCCCATTCAATAAAACCCATAAAGTACAGGTATATAGAAGGTGTAATTGTTCCCAATCCATCCCAACCCACACATCAATGTCCAGGAAATCGGATAACATCATATACCCTTTTTGGAATCCAACATGGCCATGGAAAATCCCCAATTCATAGATGATTTCAAAATTAAATGTCCATTTTTTTCGGGAATTTCCCCAAAAATCATGTAACATTGCTGTGGTAAAGATATACTGGTTGGTGGTTTGGAACATGGCTTTTATTTCCCCACATCTTTGTGTGGGGTTCTTGTTTTTGATTCTGTATCCCGGGCTCCGCCTGCTCCTCCGCCTCCTCCTCCGCCCTCCTCCACACTTTGTCCACACACACTTTATCAACATACACTTTGTCACCACACACTTTGTCCACACACACTTTGTCACCACACACTTTGTCCACAACACTTTGTCCACACACACTTTGTCCACACACACTTTGTCACCACACACTTTGTCCACAAACACTTTGTCCACAAACACTTTGTCCACACTTTGTCCACAACACTTTGTCCACACACACTTTGTCCACACACACTTTGTCACCACACACTTTGTCCACAACACTTTGTCCACACACACTTTGTCCACACACACTTTGTCACCACACACTTTGTCCACAAACACTTTGTCCACAAACACTTTGTCCACACACGCTTTATCAACATACACTTTGTCACCACACACTTTGTCCACACACACTTTGTCACCACACACTTTGTCCACACACACTTTATCAACATACACTTTGTCAACATACATTTTCTCGACAAACACTTTGTCACCACACACTTTGTCCACACACACTTTATCAACATACACTTTGTCAACATACATTTTCTCAACAAACACTTTGTCACCACATACTTTGTCACCACACAGGTTGTCCACACACACTTTATCAACGAATACTTCGTCAACACACACTTTGTCACCACATACTTTGTCACCACACAGGTTGTCCACACACACTTTATCAACGAATACTTCGTCAACACACACTTTGTCACCACACACTTTGTCACCATACACTTTGGCACAACCTGACATCCACCTTCGTTTTGCGTGGCAGGCGTGGGACAGATGGCACTGGGTGGCGCGCTTGGTCCGGATTTGTCGCCCGGGGCGCCGCGCCACTTTGCGTGGCAGGCGTGGCACTTGGTGACATCCACCTTCGTTTCACGTCGCAGGCGTGGCACAACCTGACATCCACCTTCGTTTTGCGTGGCAGGCGTGGGACAGATGGCACTGGGTGGCGCGCTTGGTCCGGATTTGTCGCCCGGGGCGCCGCGCCACTTTGCGTGGCAGGCATGGCACCACACACTTTGCCCACAAACACTTTGTCCACAAACACTTTGTCCACACACGCTTTATCAACATACACTTTGTCACCACACACTTTGTCCACACACACTTTGTCACCACACACTTTGTCCACACACACTTTGTCCACACACACTTTGTCACCACACACTTTGTCCACAAACACTTTGTCCACAAACACTTTGTCCACACACACTTTATCAACATACACTTTGTCACCACACACTTTGTCCACACACACTTTGTCACCACACACTTTGTCCACACACACTTTATCAACATACACTTTGTCAACATACATTTTCTCGACAAACACTTTGTCACCACACACTTTGTCCACACACACTTTATCAACATACACTTTGTCAACATACATTTTCTCAACAAACACTTTGTCACCACATACTTTGTCACCACACAGGTTGTCCACACACACTTTATCAACGAATACTTCGTCAACACACACTTTGTCACCACATACTTTGTCACCACACAGGTTGTCCACACACACTTTATCAACGAATACTTCGTCAACACACACTTTGTCACCACACACTTTGTCACCATACACTTTGGCACAACTGACATCCACCTTCGTTTTGCGTGGCAGGCGTGGGACAGATGGCACTGGGTGGCGCGCTTGGTCCGGGATTTGTCGCCTGTGGGCGCCGCGGCACTTTGCGTGGCAGGCGTGGCACAACTGACATCCACCTTCGTTTCACGTGGCAGGCGTGGCACAAACTGACATCCACCTCGTTTTGCGTGGCAGGCGTGGGACAGATGGCACTGGGTGGCGCGCTTGGTCCGGGATTTGGCGCCTGTGACGCCGCGGCACTTTGCGTGGCAGGCGTGGCACAACCTCACATCCACCTTCGTTTCACGTGGCAGGCGTGGCACAAACTCACATCCACCGTCGTTTTGCGTGGCAGGCGTGGCACTCATGGTACTGTGTGGCGCGCTTGGTCCGGATTTGTCGCCCGGGGCGCCGCGCCACTTTGCGTGGCAGGCGTGGCACTTGGTGACATTCACCTTCGTTTCACGTGGCAGGCGTGGCACAAACTCACATCCACCGTCGTTTTGCGTGGCAGGCGTGGCACTCATGGTACTGTGTGGCGCGCTTGGTCCGGATTTGTCGCCCGGGGCGCCGCGCCACTTTGCGTGGCAGGCGTGGCACAACCTGACATCCACCTTCGTTTCACGTGGCAGGCGTGGCACAACCTGACATCCACCTTCGTTTTGCGTGGCAGGCGTGGGACAGATGGCACTGGGTGGCGCGCTTGGTCCGGATTTGTCGCCCGGGGCGCCGCGCCACTTTGCGTGGCAGGCGTGGCACTTGGTGACATCCACCTTCGTTTCATGTGGCAGGCGTGGCACAAACTCACATCCACCGTCGTTTTGTGTGGCAGGCGTGGCCCTCATGGTACTGTGTGGCGCGCTTGGTCCGGATTTGTCGCCCGGGGCGCCGCGTCACTTTGCGTGGCAGGCGTGGCACTTGGTGACATCCACCTTCGTTTCACGTGGCAGACGTGGCACAACCTGACATCCACCGTCGTTTTGCGTGGCAGGCGTGGCACTCATGGTACTGTGTGGCGCGCTTGGTCCGGATTTGTCGCCCGGGGCGCCGCGTCACTTTGCGTGGCAGGCGTGGCACTTGGTGACATCCACCTTTGTTTCACGTGGCAGACGTGGCACAAACTCACATCCACCATCGTTTTGCGTGGCAGGCGTGACACTCATGGTACTGTGTGGCGCGCTTGGTCCGGATTTGTCGCCCGGGGCGCCGCGCCACTTTGCGTGGCAGGCGTGGCACTTGGTGACATCCACCTTCGTTTCACGTGGCAGGCGTGGCACAAACTCACATCCACTGTCGTTTTGCGTGGCAGGCGTGGCACCAGCTTTGACACACCCTCTTTCACACACCACTTTGTCACACACCATCTTTCGCACACCCTCTTTCACACCCAACTTTGTCACCCACCATCTTTCACGCACCATCTTTCACACACCACATTGTCACCCACCATCTTTGACACACCCTCTTTTACACACCATCTTTGTAACACACCATCTTTGTAACACACCATCTTTCACACACCATCTTTTACACCCAACTTTGTCAAACAGCATCTTTGACACACCAAGTTTCACACACCGCTTTGTCACACACCACTTTGTCACACCATCTTTCACCACACCATCTTCCACACACCATCTTTCACCACCCCATTTTTCACACACAACTTTGTCACACACCATCTTTGACACACCATCTTTCACACAGCACTTTGCCACACACCGTCTTTCACACACAACTTTGTCACATGCTCTCTTTCACACAGGACTTTCACCCACACCATCTTTCAGCACACCATCCTTCACACACCACTTTGTCACACACCATCTTTCACCACACCATCCTTCACACACAACTTTGTCACACACTGACCATCTTTCGCCACACCATCTTTCACACACCACTTTGTCACACACCATCTTTCACACACAACTTTGTCACACACTCTCTTTCACACACAACTTTCACACACGCCATCTTTCACACACTGCTGTGTCACACACACACACACACATCTTTCACATTCCACTTTGTCACTCACAACTGTTTTAACTTCTCGATCCTTCACCGCCTCCTTTCCCCTAACCTTCTTTCCCCGTCCCTGCTACAACCTTTCATGCTTATTATTGGAAGAAGTTGACTTGTGGGGTTATCCGGTCCTTTAATTTCCATGTCATATATGGGATGTCATCCTTCCCATTGACGAAGTCCATCATTTTTCAAGATGGTTATTGCACCACCAACCAGAATAGTAGTGGGTCAAAGGCGTGGCCAGCTGCAGCTGCCTTTTGTATCCTAGGTTTATAGCTTCCGACGTCCGGGGGCACTGTGGGTTGCTGGATCCTGGAGCTGAAAAATGGGGGGAGATGCTGGTCAATTTGTGGCACTTTTCATGGGAAAATGGAACATCGTGATTCACCGGTGGATGGAATGGGGTGATTCACCATGGGTAGCCTATTTCCAGACAAAGCCCCAGGGTTGGATGATGGGAAAATGGGGAAACCTCGGTAAAACCATGGGAAAAACCCATCACTTGTTTCCTGTAGATTTCCCCCCTTTTCACTTTCCAGTGACATTCAGATAGCGGCTAGAACAGTGTCCATCCAATCTTCGGCGTTTTAAAACGCCCATAGACTCCATCGACTTTTTCGGACATCATGACATCTACAGACCAAATCCATCGACCAGGGTGAAACATCCACATGTTTTCTCATTGGTTCAGGCCCTGAGTTGGAGGCCTGCCGGTCCCGGAGGGCTGCAGGGGTTGGGTTTGTCGCAAGGTTTTCATGCCCTCCGGATGGTTTGGAGTAGTTACTGGGAGATCTATGATGGATGTTCCAGCCATTTTGGATTACCAGAGGGTATCTACTATCATCATGTTTTTCCCTATGAAACAAATGGGGCAATGGTGGCTGGGGTATATATATATATTTGACAAACTCATATCAGGAGAACATGTTTCTAAACCTGCTTTCAAAGCAAACAAGGTAGGATGGGGTTTGCCATGACTTTCATAATTTAAAATGGAACTAGCCCCGCCAACTAGTTGTCTTTCCGAGCAGGTTTTCTTCTTTGTTTTTTTACTATAGAGTTTTTGAGGAGAACAAACGGACATATGAAGACACAGGCCCAGAAAAACCAGAACAAGATACATAGATGTATATTATAATACATGTATACACATACACGTATACATATACACATATGTACATCTATACATATATACCAATATACATATATACAGATAACCATATAGACAACTATATAATTCTATCATAGATTTTATTCCTGCAATTTCTATAGGCGTTAAGCCGCAGGATTGGCTCCTGCGAATTGGTGCTCAAGGTGATGGCCAAAAGGCTCGGGATATCATCTCCAAATATAGGATACGATGTGTGATTCTGCAAGCCCCAAGGAAGATAGAACAGTTTGGTAAATCCAATCCTAAAGTATCCTAAAGTCCTAAAGTCGTGATAACTTATCTGCATCTTTTTCGGTGCTGTAAATGGGAATCATAAATCGAAATGAAGATTCTCTCAGGTTCATTTGTTCTCAGCACATTGGGCTTCTCAGGGGCAAGACATGGCAAGACTGCACTGAAATTGCCTTGGCAATGCCAGTTTTGAAGCATTAGTCCTGCCGATGATTTTCACATAGTCAATTCTAGAGGGACATAGTCTAAGAATATCTAAGAATACCGTTGGTGTCAAATCAGCTCACGTACATCAATTTCTCTTTTCTTTGAGCCAAGTCACGTCTCTTGGAGTACCCTGGGGCCACAGACATGTCTTTGAAAACGATGCTGGTTGGTTTGTTCATTCACGTATCTATTGAATCTATTGTTTCATACCTCTGACTTGGAGGTTGTATCCTTCATCAATTTTCATCAGTTCCCATAAACCCTTGGACAAAAAACATATGCATGACACCTCCAAAATTCTAAACATCATATTTGATATTACTTATATATGTGGTAAGCGGCCCCTCCAGGGCCACTGGAGGGTACCCTGATGCATCAGGATGAATGAAAAGCATGTCATTATATGCATATATTATATGCATATATAATATGCATATATCATACACAATATAATATACAATATATACTACATGCAATATATATATATATATACACATGTATAGTAGGTATGTACATATTTTCGCGCCATAAACTCCATTGAACTTCACCGCAGGCGTCGAACCTTGATAAATCGCCAAGGCCTGAAACGACGGTGGAGTTCTTACCCGAGTTTTTGGGACCTATTTTTAGGGAAAGTGGGGATGTTTTTTGATGGATTTGTTTTTAGGGAACATGGATAGATGATGATCGATGGAGAGTTACAGAAAGTAGGGAACATCTGGAAAAAGCCATCCGACGACTGGATTTAAGTGAGTGAAATTAGTGGTGACTGTCGAATGGGGATATCATGGGGATATAACTTATAACCACCAATTTGAATTGGATATGTCTAAAAATGCTTCGTAGATCCCCCTCAGATGGCCATATGATGAATTGTCTGGTCCAATGGAACTGGGAAACAAATGAAAGATATTGGGAATTGTGGAATACCAACTAAATAACAAGACACTACAGATTTCAGGACTGAAACGCTTTGGGCTTGAATTTGGAGACAGTAACTTGGTGAGTTATAGAAACTGTCATCTCCCAGTTTCTATGGACAGTTTCAAAGATTCTCCCAGTTTCAGATCATTCAGATCCAGTTGTTCGATCATTCGCATTCCGCCAGCAGGACAAACGAGGAGCAGGTGAAGCGGGAAGATACGAATGCCACAAAGGGTGCTATGGAGGTGCTGAAGGGAGGGGAAACCATCCACAGCCTTGGCTTTTTGTTCGATGCTGTTGAATTACGTTTATTGAATATGGATTTTATGTGATTTTAGAGATCTACATTCAATGATCAACAATCAAATCATGATTAATTAGGCTAGTGACATGTATTCGTGTCATTGTTTATTTCCTAATTGGATCTAATTGGTACTTCTCAGGTCAATGAAATGCTGACTTGACCAGAAAACTCATTGAATCGGCGATGGATCATCCCAGATTGGGTTTCAGGGAAGATGAAGAAAGAACTGAAGAAAGTTGAACAAAACGGATGTACGATGAGATAAGATGAGATTAGATGAGACAAAATATTGATTAGATCAGATAAGATGAGATGAAATGAGAGATGAGAACAGACAAGAGATATAAGATGAGATAAGATGAGCACAGGTATCCTGCGATGAAAGCCATGGCCCTTCGCCAGGGCCGTGAGCTGAAGAGCCCTCCTTCCGGCTTGCAGTCCGAGGGCCTGGTGATGTGGAAAACGCTGCGCGCGCATCAGCTACACTAAGCGAAAGGATAAGAAAGGCACAGACAGATACAATACATATCCATCCTGTCCTGGTTCCCCACCAACAAAATGATGGTTGATTGTTAATTGATGGTTGATCCATGATATATTTCTGGTTGGTGGTGACTGGAACCATGGAATTTTGTATGACTTTCCCATCATCTTGGGAATGTCATCATCCAGGTCGCCTCCTCCCTCGAAACGTGGGAGGTCCAAAAGCAAGGCGCCGCTTGTTTTTTTTTTGGGGGGGGAATGGGATGGGAATGGGAATGGAGCCCCAAGGCGGATTCGAATCATCCCCTCTAGAGCGGCGCTAACATTTCGGCGCTAATATTTCGACGATGTTTGATGTATCATTGAACGTGGTGATCGCAAAATCGACCAAGGACTGACCAAAGTGATTTACATCGGAAACTGAACGGCCGAAACTCTATGCCATGGCCTTGAAATACTCGGAGTCTGGTTGTGAATTCCGCCATATTTTGGTTGTACGCTTCTTTTGATTTCCTTTTGTATGGACATGTTGTTGGTGATATCCTTGCATCTGTGGTGAAATTTACATTAGCTGGAATACAGTATGTGTTAGAAAGTACGTTTGTCTAGGTGCCTGAACAAACGTTTTTTTCGTTTGTAGTGATCTCTCAACTTTGAGTTTCACAATTTTCTGTGTTTCGTCATCTAAGATCATATGGCTTTGTCTGAAAATAAGGTGCCCCCAAATCCAATGATTGATCATCATTATCATCATTTTTCCTAGTAGCATGTGGCCATAATGCAACAAGTATACCCGCTTCCAGACAAACTCATATAAGTTGTTTTTTGCTTTTTAAATATGCCGCAGTGTTTTTCCTTTTTTAACAGCCACATTCAGTAAAGATAAAGGACCCGTGATTTATCAGCAATTGATGTTGATTAATATTAATCCTATCAATATCAATATTAATCAATATTAATGAATATCAGTATTGATTGATATTGATTGATATTGATTGATATTGATTGATATTGATTGATATTGATTGATATTGATTGATATTGATTGATATTGATTGATATTGATTGATTTTGGAATAACCAATGCTTGCTATTGAGGCCTAGAGGTAATCCAAAATCCTCCAAGGTGATGCCTCCGAGTTCTGTTGATTCGTACAGTTCATGTTTTTTGTTTGAGATATTTATCATAAATCTGGGTAAAATATAACGACCTCACTACGACCTCACTGCAATCATGGTTAGTAAGGGGAATCATCCCAAAATGGCCTTAATTCATGTAGCAGCTGCCGGGGTATGGCTGGGGGTCCGCAAGAGAAGTGGTGTGGCCTTAGTAATGAAATATTATGATTGACCACAAATCCAACTGTTCTGTTCGTGAAATTTACAGCAACTTGACTTAATCCAATCCAATCAAGTTCAAGTTCCAGCCCATCAAAAGACCATGACATCTCCATTTTTTCCGGTAAAACTTGGCTGACTTAAACTGTGGGCAAGTGGGCAATGGACCCAGAAGTTTGGCTGGTGGAATTGTAGGCGCTTAATATCACGAGAATGTGAAGATCTTTGAACATGAAAATTTTCTGAATCATTTTCTATCTGAATCATTCTACTTCAGGATTATCACGTATATGCATATATAATTAGTGTGTATATATATAGAGTGTACATATATAATATAATATATATATATAACATATATAGTATATAACATATATAGTATATAACATATATAGTATATAATATATATATAGTATATAATATATACTATGTTACTATATTATATATATAGAGAGTATATCTATAGCATATATCTATATCTATATATATATATACACTCTAAACTGCCGGGTCCCATCTAGGCGGACGCTGAAGTCGTAGCGCCGGACTACACCTTGCTGCCACCCTTAGAGGCGAAAAAGGGCTGCAGTCACTGTTTTTTTCCGGTTTCTGTTAGTTGTTTCACCATGTGTCATCCACCAAACTGAAACACTAGGTCCTAGGTGGCTGACAAATCCTAACTTGAGATGGTGACATTTTTTAGATGTTGCATGCTGTTCCATGTTACATGTGGTGCCTCCAAAGAAAAGGTTGTTTTCTAACCCCGATGAACAAGGTATATATTTTGATATATCTATCATAGACACAACACCTATTGGAGTTATGTTTACCCTCTGAGCGATTCCACACTTGACCTCTGTCCGAATGGTGATTGCTATTCCTTTGATAGGTATACAATGGTATATATACTATATTATTATTCCTATTCCTTTGGGAATTTCATTTTATCATAGGTAGATTGTCACGTTTTTCATTTTGATCATAGGTGAAGAGTCAAGATCTTCTTCTTCTTCTTCCTTTCTGGGTCAATACCTGTGGGACAACGCTGAACCACTGGCATACCCTGACCAGGAAGTAGACAAGGCTCTCTGTACCGCAGAAGGCATGGCGGGGGGATGGAGGACTTTGCTGCCCGTCGAGGGCGCAGATACGTTATTGAAGAACCTACATGTAGGATCTTGTATTCTCCAATAATTAGATCCTTGTAATCATGTACCGCAGATACGTTATTGTAGGATGTATTGAAGAATACAAATTAGTATTCCCCTGTCGGATCCTGTTGGTACAGCCCCCGGCAAAACCCTGGCAGGTGAAATATGACGAGGAGCCTACCATATTTCTTGTCTTGATGTATTCATGAACGGTGCGAATGTACATGGTAAGACTCAGCACACAAGGATTAATTATATATATATATATATAATAAAAGATGCCGTACTCACCCTTCAAGATGTCAAGAGGATTTCTCATCCCTTGTAGGTATGTTTCCAGCTCCAAGGAAGTTTCCCCGTCAGAATTGCCACCATTGCCACGTCCACGAAACCGCATCCACAAACCGCATGAGAAACCGCAATGGGTCAAGACCTATAGTCACCCTACTGGGATGGTTTTTCCGTGTTTTTCCGTATTTTTTGGGGATGAAGATCCAACAAAAACCCTCCGGTAAAGCCCAGGAACTGGTTTTTTTTTCGGATTCACCAGCCGCCATGTTTACCAGGCATGGTCCGAGCCTGTGCAGCTCGCGTCTCTCATTTTTTACAGCGGCTGCAAAGGCGGTGATTTTCGCGACGAAAATCACGGTGGAAAGTGGTTGTTGCTGGAGTGAAAGGCGGTTAAAAACATTGGTTGTTATACACTTTAACAGTATATATATATACATATATATATACGGGATATTTAGGATTTTGAGGGATTATCATGATCCATGGATCCATGAACTGGGAATCCATAAATCAACATCAGGCAGGATTCAATGAAGTCAGATTTCAGGTTTTTGATACTGCTCATTTGGGTATATCCAAGTTTGAGTGTTACACATTGTTGGGGCGTCACGGCGTCAAAACTTGACCCTTGCTGTATTTACTGTAAATTAACAGCTCGGACCCGCAAAAAAGGACAACACTGAACACTGAGAACTTTGAGAGTTTTGCTAAGACCTCTGTTTCTCTTGACCCAAACTGATCTTTTCAGATTCGACATATCTTCAAGTATATTTGAATACAACCCTGTAATCTGTTCTGACCATCGTCGTTCAAGATGATTCAACATTTTCTGCAGCTATGCAGTACAGTATATATATATATTATAGATAGGTAGATCAGATGTTTGATGTTTACTCTTCCTGTGACTCTTGTGTGAGCATTGATCCTTCATGATCAGAGGATTGGCTGGTTGGATTTCTTGTGGCCTTTACCCCGAGTAGTTGATATAGAGACACGACTGAGTGACTGACCTCTAGTTTTTTTAGACCTTTAGACCATGGAACAAGAGTTATGCATCATTTAAGATTTTTTTCCCCTACTTGGGAGGATCCTCCTGTTCACCCTCAGACACCGGCTGGTTGGTCAACAGGTTCCCTCCTTTTGTTTTTGCTACCCTTTAGTAATCAAACATGGGAAATGCTGGGAAATCCCCAATCCAAAATGGCAGTGTATAGCTCGGAAAATCATCGAACTTCGCATGTTTGGTTTGATGAAACCAAAGGTTAACCCCAATTTTGTTGGGGGTATGGTATCAATTCATATTAATTAATTTATATCAGGCCTAGGCCTGTTATAATCCATATGATTCCTGGCTTTTTGGGCTTCGCACCTTATTTTTAGCCAACTCCGTAGCAAACTCCTCGCGCCAGGCAGCTCGCACGGATCGAAGGCCTTGAGCACAAGGCCGTCGACGAGGTCCAGCGCGGGTTGAAAATGTATGGAACATGTACCCTCTGGTAATGACTAACATAGCTATTGAAAATGGCTCATTGACAGTTGATCTACCGAACTTAAACATGGTGATTTTCCATAGTTGTTTGTATGTTTACCAGAGGGTATGAAACACCGAAACACCTTCCCAGAGGTCTATACCTCGTATATTTAGAAATTCTACTAAATTCTACCAAGGAAGCTGGCAAGTTTACCCTGACAAATGGTGATTTTATATTTTGCCCCGAAAAATGGTGAGTTGACCATGACAACTTAAGTCTTCATGATTTGTCTGAATTTAAGAACTTAAGAAATTTAGATGTCACGTCATTGAAAGTCTCAAGTTTTGAGACGTCTTGAGTTAGATACATTGGGGATTCATGTTTTTGTTTTCGGTCTATATATAAACTGATCCATTGCTTTTTTTTTCGGAGAAATTTATCTTGGAGACTGAGCATTTACCGACAGAAAATGAGGATACCAAAATGACAGAAAACTGGGGATGTATGAGACAATTGAAGAATACTTCCATACACTTCCTATATTCACCAACCAAAATGGAAAGGTGATTCGCAACACAACTTGTCTGGTGGTTGCGGCTCCTCGCTGTACCCTCCAGATACACATGAAACTGAGTATAAACCATCAGCGTTTCCATATTGACGCATTTTTTACAAGGGGTTTTGGTAGAGCAAAATCATCTTATCGCAACAGGGCGATCTTGCAGGACTGCTGAACTTCGACACGCATTAGCCATGTCTCGTAATGTCCACGGATTAGCCATGGATAGCCATGGCATGGTCAAGGGAAGTTGATTAGCCATGGCCCACCTCAAACATCGGTGAAATCTTCCATGGTCAGAGCCAGAGTTCCGTCCGAAAAAAAGCTGCGCACAGATTGTTGACTTCGTGGAAGCAGAGTTTTGGGGCTCGGACCCTCTGCTGTGCCTCTGGGAAGAGGCCGGTTGCTGAGAAGTGGGGAACTCACGTGCGGGATGATTTCGGTTCGCATTGATGAGGTTTACTTATATCTATAAATCAATGTATCTATCTATCTATCTATCGATCCATCCATCCATCCATCCATCCATCCATCCATCCATCCATCCATCTTTTTGTTTGGCTTCTTAGCTGATTGAAGTGGAATGTATATTGATTTATGGCCACGGTTCCTGATCAAGATCCTCTAAATAGCCGTGCTCTGCCAGGTGAGTCTCCCGACGGGTGAGCATGTGCGGTATCGTCCGGAGACCCCATTGATGGCAAGTTTTGGTAGGTAAATTGGTGCTTAGACCTAGATGACTTATAATGACCTCACGTCGTGACGTCACTGGAATGATGGTGAGTGAGGGGAATCATCCCCATAGCTGGCCCAACATTTCATAACATTTCAGCTATTTTCAGGTTTGTGAAATTATCATACCCTCTGGTAAACTAACATAGCTATCGAAAATCACTATTTTTGAATATTTTTGATAGGTAAATCCACTATTTCTATGGCCATTTTCCATAGCTATTTTGACATAACCAGAGGGTAATTCAGCCAGATTTATTCATGTTACCATCCGAGTCTTGGGAGGCAAGCAACCGTCAGGTGTAGCTATGTGGCTGTACACAATCTTGAGTCATTGAGCCCACCTGAGACAATCACCAGCCCTGAGTTTTGACCCACACCAATTAACATGGAGCATCACCCAATTTACCAGATACCTGGTTGATAGCCCTGATTAGAAAGTCCCCGAGTTGTGAATTAACATGAATTAACCCATCGATAAAAATACTGGGTGAACGAACTATGGTGAGTCTCACCACTTTTTATGATCCAAGTCCCAAATCCATGGGGTTGTTATCACATTCCACATTAAGGTTGCCATTTTGGAGGTGTTCACCTCATTTTCAGAGGACATGACTGATATGACTGGATCCTTGGGGTCAATTTTATTGAAAGATGCCAGTGGGCAGCAGAGGTTCTTCGAAGTGAGATGCCTTAACTACTGCAAATGTTGGATTCAACCACCAACAACGAAGATATAACGAGTGATATAACTGTGGGCCATGGTCTACCAACATTAACGTGGCCCACAGTACCAACATGACCACTCCATTTACCAACAGCATCGCACATATACAGTAATGCGAAGATCACGGGAAGTGTCAGAAGGGGTCCAACTTGGAGCCGAATTTCATGGTCCAGACATGACCAGCACAGCGAAATCATTGACACAATATGAATTACAGGGGATCAGGGGTCGGTATTTTGACATATTTTGATCCCATCTTAAAGATATTACTATTGGATTTCTGATGGGTTCAATTTATAGATTCAATATTGATTCAATATAGACATTACTTGAATATTAACATATATTACTCAGAATCTAATTGAAACTTTTTCCAACATCCACCATGCACCAAAAACATCCACCCAGTCGTCATGCATTAATAGCCATGGACCGAGGTTTGGGTCCGTTTAGCATCGACCACCAGGGGCATCGAAGCTTTCAACCGGACTTCCATGGCAGGCCGACTTGGTGTTCTCGGGGTCAGTTGGTGATTTACGTCTGGATTTCATGTAGAAAAAAGGAAAAGGTTGAAGAACAAGCCGGGAAAATCCATAGAAAATCGTGTTTTAACATGTTCTAACATGTTTTAACATGTTTTAACTAGGATCTAAAGTCTAGCCAGTCTAGCTGTTATTCACGACTGGAGCAGTAGCCTTATATGGCAGTCACGGGGGCTGCAATGGATTTAGATCGGATTTTGAGGAGAGCAACCCCCAAACAGAAACCTTGGAAAGCCGGAAATTATGAAAGTGGTGTATCTATCTGATTTACTAGTGTAATTGTGGATAATTGCGGACACACAAGAAACTCATGAAACAGTTGGAAACCATCAAAGTGATTTACTAGGTTTACAATGAATTTCGGTGGTATAAACCTTCCCAAATTGGGGGTTCATTCATGGTACGTCGTTTATTTCGTGATTTTGACATGGTAGAATCACTTGATTTATTGATATTTATTGTGTGTTCTTAATTTGAATTATCACTGACTTTTCTTTGGACTGACATAAAAATCGAACCTGGCAATGAAAACCATGGCATTTTGGGATGGGAAACAGCTGAAACTCATGGAGAGAGACTGGCCATTTCAAGCAACAAAAAATCACCACAGTTTCAGGATCCAAAAGGTCATGTTTACCCTCCAAAATGAGATTCACATTGCCTGCCAACTGGGGTGACAAGATCATACAAGATCATACAAGATCCCCATGTCGCGATGTTTTAAAGCAATGAACAACTGTTTTTTTTGGATCATTGCCGATGAAGGGTAGACCTAGTTCGGATTTGGCAAGCTCACCCAGGACCCAACATTTAGGATTCGATCCCATTTGTCATACATTGTCATCCAATTGTGCATGGATGTTAGACATTTTCTGGTTGGTGGTTTTGAATATGGCCCAGTTGACCCGGCCAAAAACGATGGAAAGTCACCATGCTCTTCATGGGTAAATCCACTATTTCTATGGCCATGGCTTCAATAGCTATGTTAGTCATTACCAGAGGGTACATGTTCCAGGGAAGATCGATGGTGAAAAATGGGGGCGACCATCATGGACTGTCCCAAACTGATCCTATTCATCATCTGACAATAATCCCACTTTCCTAAAGAATCATGGCTGATTTTGAATGCAGATATAGATTGGCTCTATACACCATATATGATGTATTAGATACATATGTATAGATGATTTAGAGTATTTGTTCTACATTCTACCCCAAAAGTATGCCGTTTTCTCCTCTGACCCTCCACCCTGGGGATCTTCGGATCTTCGCTGCTCAGTTCGCAGTTTTTGCGAGCCCGGAAACCTGGAACCTGGAGATTTGTCTATGATTTTTACCCTCTGGTAATTTCACATAGCTATTGAAAATGGCCATTTATAGTGGATTTACCCATTAAGAATGGTGATTTTCCATAGTTATGTTAGTTTACCAGAGGGTATCTGATTTTCCTGGTGTTTGAGTATTTCTATTAAGTCCTGGGTGAAGTTGATTGTTTTTTCCGGCTTCAAGCACGTTCCATCTTAGATTAGGTGGGTGATATGATCTCGAAGTTCTTTTTTTTCAGTTGACCAGGCTGTGCAATGGATCCTTTGACTTGAGCAGCTGCCGCTAGCGTTGGTTGATGAAATCTGGCCTTCACATATTGAGGATTCTCATAATCCATGGGGAAACCAAAAATGAAAGCTAGTTTTTTCCATCGAGATTTTCATATAAGCTACAGCCCAAATTGAGGTTTTTCATGGAGCTATATAATTACCAAATATTGACCGTGGCCCTTTTTTGGCATCATATAGCTAAATCATCATTTTTTTTCCAGATTTTTGAGGATTTTGATGATTTTTCCCTATGATTTAGCTATATACCTATGATTTCCCAATGATTTCCCTATGATTTACCAAATTTTGACCAATCTCCCAGGATTTTTACCCCATGAAAAATGGCACCGCCTTGTCCGAGGTGCCGCTGTGGATCTTCGCCCCCTCCCAGGCCCACTTCCGGTGCCTCGCCGAGGCCCGGAGTGGGTTATAACCCCAGTGATTGACATGGGATAAGGAGCGGGTTAATCCCCAGTGAATTTGAATGTTAATGGATTTAATCAGATGAACTCACGTAATGGTGGCAGAAAAAAAAATGCTGATGATTTTTTGCAGCAATTTTGGAGGCAACACCCCAGAAAGCGAAGATATGATCAGGGAAGTGGAAGGAACGAGAAATGTGCAGGGATGCAACATGGCAAAAACCAAAACTCAGCAAATGTGTAGATCTCAGGGCATTGATGGACAGTTGGTGGGATTGGAACACTCGCGTGGCAGCTCGCTCGCTTGAACCTTTGGACAAGCACTTTTAAAGTCATGGATTGGTTTATGAAACCCGGAAAGTATCCAAACTGGAAAACAAACTCTGCCACGATTTCAGCCCACGACGTTCTATAGATCGATCTATGCGACCCAACGACCCTTTGTGGATCATCTAAAAGACTAAGTGGTTAGTCATCATGGTTATAGATAATCCATACATGGGTTGAGCCGCTTATATAGGGGACTTACGATCACTAGGGTTATTAACCAGTTCGTAAGTGCGGTGATCCTCCAATTAAGTCCTCAAGTGCGGAAAAAACAGGTGGGGAAAATCATGGTAAACAACCGTCTGTAAGTGGGAAACTTATAAACACCCTCTATAAATGAAAAAACATATGGAAGATGAATGGGTCAAATCCCACCTAAATTCATCTGAATGGGTCTGTTTGAAAATTTAGGGGAACCCCACCGAAATTCATCGAAATTCACTGTTTAATCAAATCATATTCTCCTTATGAAATCGGCCATAAGTGAGAGTTTACCCTATTTTCAGACACACCCAAACGGCGGAAATTCCATTAGTGAAATTGACACGAGAGTGAGCAATGGCTAAACCCCTGTTGGTTGATGCTTAGTTTGGGTTTGTACTACCCTGTATGTGTTGGGGCATATATTATACGTATATGTATATATATATACACGTCATGATATCCTTATTAGCTCGTCATCTTTCCAGGGAAATTCATTTTTTCCATGAAGGTAAAGTATATATCCCTCTTATTGTTCCTATATTCCTAGCTCAATCCAAATATTCTTGCGGTAAATCTCCACTATATCATATCACATCATATCATCAATTTTCCCTAGTTAATCTTGCCCAGGTAAATCTCTATATCATATCACCAATTTTCCCCAGTGAACTCCAGGTCTTTCCTTACCGAAAACTCCAGGTCTTTTCCCTCCAGATCCTTCGGGTCCTCGGGTCCCGCTAAGCCCGCCTCACCCGCCTCAGTGGAGCCTGATCCACTGTGAGCGACTGCGACAGCTGCCGAGCCAACACGAAGGCGGAGGGACCTGGAAACATCAAGGGTTTTTTGGGGATGTTTCATGAGATTTAATGGAACTGAACCCTTAAAAACTGAGAGATTCAATGGGATTTTAGCATAAGAAACAAGGGATTTAATATGATTTAATGGGATTTAGCTGTAAAAACGATGGATTTAATGATATTTAATGGAATGTTTGTGGGATTTAATGTTTCATTAGATGATTTGAGTACATTTGATGAGGCTTCACCATCAACAAACATGATTTATATAGGGGTTTTAACATGGGATTCAGAAGCGTCCCTCCGGTGTCATCAATTGTCCAGTTATGATCTCTTGGGATGCGGAGGTGCTTAGGTACCCTGGAGCATAGTTTTTGGTCGTTTTGAGGTATACTAAAGGAGATGGGTTTTGTAAAGATCAATATCACCAATATAGAATTCATTTGGAAGCATGATTCACCCAAGGTGACATGATGGGATTTGTATTGGGGTCAGGAGCCCAATGATTTCGTTATCACATGATGGGGAGTTGGAGAATACCCAGCTATTTGATGGCGCGAAATCAAGTAGGAACTTTGACCAGGCCGGAAGAGCGGAAGTGTAAATCACCCCTCCAGATTTGGATGGTTCAGTGGTCCAGTAAGAATAACGGCACACCAAATCTGGATCATTTTGGCGGCCGTCTTCGCCAAAAAAGTCAGGGTGCCAAAAACGGGTGATCGGACATCGGACGGGAGTGCAGGCACTGGCGGCTGTAGTGGCTGCTGCCCTGGCCCCAAGGATGTCCTGCTTACCATCTGGTGGCAAACATGGCTTAAGCTGGGAAATCCTAGATGGATCCATATTGGAAAAACCTTCTAATGCTGTATGCTGTATGTCTTTCCATTCTTTCATTTCAGTGAATGTAAATGTGGATGAACGATGATGAACGTAGTTTTAGCAGTTCCTGGGTTTGTCAAAGCGAGCTTTGTCCCCTCAACCGAGGGTTGGCCAACGTGCACTTGTACGTTGGACCATCTTCCCAGTTCTTAGCTACCTACGTGTTGCCATTTTGAGTGACCTCGAGTTCTGTTGCATGCCTTCCTTACTCGAATTACTCGAACCTTTCTGACCTAGTCCGCCCCTTGAGGTTGTGTCCCTGGGGGCTTTCGCAAGAAATCCCACAAGAAGTCACTGCCTCAGATCTGCTCGCCACATGTCAACCTTTTCCTGGGACGACCAGCTTGTTTGGGCCACGCAACCCCCCAAAAAAGAAACTTAGAATCCTACTAAAATAATGGCAAAATCAGTGCTGACTATATAGTACAAGTCATCCAATTTGACCCATGGAGCTAGTGCTTATTTTCCGACTTTAACGATGGTCAACATGTCCAGGATTTCAGCAACTTACCGGTGACATCTTTTTGGTGCAATTTTTGTCGGACCGTTTCGGGGGATCCCAAGATGGCCCAGGCCAGATTCTCTCGCTGTACGGTTACTGGAGGGTGTCACCAAACATGGCTGGAACATTTTTGGGGAAAATCATCAGCTGGGGATTTTTCAACCAGACAGGTGACTGATTGCCAGAGGGTAAAAGGATGTAAAAGGCCGGTCACTATTTTACTGGGTGAGTTTGATATCCGGAGTCCCAGATTGGGTGAATCATATCAAATCATTATCTCATGAACTGTCCCCAATCTGCAGAGATTGGCGTTTTTTCCATCAACGAAATCTGCAAAATCCATGGAATCCAACTGGGGTTCTAAATCCCATTGGGAATCCCATCACGAATCCCCACCATCGCGTCACGAAAGGAAGGGAAAGCCTGGGCATCCGACCATGGGTGCTCTTTCGACCTCCTTGGCGGCGCATTTTGCCCACTGGGTCTGGAATCCCGGAGTAAAAAAACCAGAGCTTTTGGTCGCAAAAACGTGGCGAGACTTTGAAGCGCGAGAAACATGGTGGTTTTGGATGGTTTTGGGAGTTTGGGGTCGAAAAAGTGTTGTGTTTCAATGGGTTTCACCATGCTTCACCTTGTTTCACCTTTTCAAAGTTATTCAATTTACTGTAGCTGGGTGGTCTCGAGGGATTGCTGCACCCACCACTTCAGCGGGCTTGGAACAGGGGCCCCCACCAACCATCCATTGATCGCGCAGACGTGGCGAACAACTGAGGTTGAAAAGACAGATGAGATCAAAACCATGTTTGAAAGGCCGTGGAAAGCTGTGACCAGGGTGCCCCAAGGTATCCCCAAGGTAAAGGATGGCCATAGAATTCCAGCATGACAACGAACCTCTACAACTTGCAACTGGATGGTGTGAACCCAGAGGAGTTAGGACCAAACCATGTAACCATGACTGAAAATGGCTGGTTTCGCTCTATTTCCGTGGCTCGTTTTGGGGTTCCCTGCAGATCCGGTTCAAATTCGCTCAGCAATCGGTCCAAGGAGGTGACACTGTCGAAAAACGACCAATGAAATGTCCTGATTTTCAGGACATTTCAGGACAAGTAATCGAAACTGTAAAAGAGTTTGGCAGATGTTATTCTTCTTTGATAGTGCCGGCTCAGTATCCGCATTCAAAAATTGGCCATAGGGTCTCTCAAATCCGGTCGTACGTACTGCAACCAATCAAAAAAGTAGGTTTATAACGGTTACATCACTCAGAATTTTCACGCATCAGCACCAATGTATCATGGGGGATGAACCCGAAGATGGTGAAGATTCGCTCTTTTCATATTTTCTGATGGTGTTTTTTGGTGAAGATTCGCCCTAAAAAAGCGCTCCCAAAAACAGCGACATCGCAGGTTTGCCCAGCTCTACAACGACCCAGACGAGGCGTTGCGGAAGTCGCTCAGCTTCCGACTGCGGATGTTCTGCGATGAAGTTTCAGGTAACACGATGTAGCACTCCAAAAAGATGTTCGTAGATTTTAGTAGGATGTTACTTATGTTGCTTTTGAATCCTTTTGGGGGTATAATTATAGAATGTGCACGAATGCGCTGGGAGTAGTTTGAATCTGGAAAACATGCTTTCAATGTATTGATCCACTCAAATTTGGGACATCATCTTTCCAGAAATCACCCAAGAAAGAAAATCATCGCAAAAACACGGGTGAGTTTCAAAAAAGCAACGTTTGACAAACAGTAACCGGACTGAACATCAATTGCTGGTGGCTCAAGCTGCGACAGAAACTGGGTTCCACAAACATGGCCTGCAATATCCTGTTTGGATCTGTAAATACGAAATCATGGCCGTGAATCAGCCTGGAAGTGACTGAAAACCATTCAGGAGGGGAGCCATAGTGAACTTTTGCATATTGCTCGGGTGGATGACTTTGTCTGAACATGTTGGGAAACCCTACTGATATATATTGTATATATATATTTATAGTTATATATATATATATACAATATTATATATATAATAGTATACACTATATATATACAATATATATATAATAGTATACACTACAACATATATATATATACACAACATATATATATGTATATATATACAATATATATATATACACAACATATATATATATGTATATATATACAATATATATATACAATATATATATATACAATATATATATACAATATATATATATATACAATATATATATACAATATATATATATATACAATATATATATACAATATATATATACAATATATATATATACAATATATATATATACAATATATATACAATATATATACAATATAAATATATATACAATATATATATATACACAATATATATATATACAATATATATATACACAATATATATATATACAATATATATATATACAATATATATATATAATATATAATATATATACAATATATACAATATATATATATATATATACAATATATATACAATATATCTATACAATATATATATATACAATATATATATAATATATACAATATATATATACAATATATATACATATATACAATATATATACACAATATATATACACAATGTATATATATAGACAATATATATATATAATATATACAATATATATATAATATATATATATATACAATATATATATATAATATATACAATATATATATACAATATATATATATACAATATATATATACTATATATACACACTATATATATATATATATATTAATATATATCCATCTATCCATTGAAATGACAGTGAAAAACGGGTAATGTGGTAAAACAATAATGAACCACCTATTTGGGAATGGTTTATACCACCTATTCATGGTGATTCGGGGGATGGTTTATTTTTGTTTTACCCACATTAGTTCGCCATTTTGGACCCATTCGAACAAATCTCACGAATGCTGGTTATCCCGAGCCTAAGGTCAGCGGCTATGGATCCACTTGCATCCTTGAAGGTCATGGCCGGGAGATGGGCGATGGGATATACGGTAGATATGGGAGATGGGCGATGCAGAACCAATATGATGAGGAATAGGGCTGCAAGAAACATTAGATAGTTGATTATTACCCAATATGCCAATATTTATCTGGGTATACACCGCCCCCATTGCACGATCTGATTTTATTGGGGGGAAATCATCCCCAAATGGCCGAGCTAATCTGGTTGGGGAAATATTGCAATTTCCACACAAATAGATGGTGAGATTTCATCATGACACAATGAAGATAGTGGGGGATACGCTCCAACAAATGCTACATGTAGTTTCGACTGCGCTCCCACAGATTCAACAGATGACCATCAGATGACCTTTATTTAATTTTTGGTGGTTCCCATGTCCATTCGCTCGTGGATGTACCAAAAAATACTGTACAAATTTGGGACCAATTCGAATGCGATTGTGCCAACAAATTTACGCCACAACATCGATGCAAACCAAACACATTGGGATGCCAAGAAACATATGGAGCAAATGCTGGAAGAAACACCCGAAAGTATATTGCGAAATTTAGACATGGGGAAATGAAGCGATAGTTCTACCAGGAATAAGAGTGTAGAATTCCAATATTTGATGGTGCTTTTTGCGATCTTGCAGGAAATGGATCTTCCAGGTACTACGCTTATGGTGCTGGTAACTAAAAGAATGGGTCTCTGCAATGAGACAAGTCAGATAAGTCAGTGGCAGTCAATTCACTGCAGGATCTCTGTGGACGAAGGACTCATCCGACCAAAGCATGTTGTGCCAACTGGTACTGCAAGTGGTGCAGCCACAAAATCAAACTAGATTCGTAGAGCTTCGGATTTAGAACTTATAACTTATTAATAACAGGGCTATTTGAAACCATGATTATGTATATATATATATATGTGGTCCCGGTCTACGGCCCGGTACCCCCTCCCCCCGATGGTATGGTCCCCCAGGCCGGCTACACGCCAGCTCCCCCCCCCCCAAGATGGTGGTCGCCCCGCCCCCCCCTGTAGCCCAGCACCCTGCATCAAGTGTCTGTGCAAGTACGAGGGAAGATCTTTTAACGTAGCACCAAGCCCAAGCGTCTGTGCAAGTGTGCAGGCACAAGAGAAGATCTTATAACCTCAAGTGTCTGTGCAAGAACAAGAGAGGGTCTATTAATGTAGCACCAAGTGTCTGTGCAAGTACAAGAGAAGATCCTTTCAGAGACCACCAGGTTTCTGCGCATGTAAAGTAGAAGGTCTTGGAATGCAACATGAAGTGTCTGTGTACGTACAAGACAAGATCTCGTAACGTAGCATCAAGCATCTATGGAATTAGGAGACAATATCTTTAACGTTGCATCAACTGTCTGCGCGTGTAGAATACAAGGTCTTGTAACGTAACATCAACTGTCTGTGCAAGTACAAAGAGAAGATCTTGTAACGTAAAATCAAGCCTCTACGGAAGTAGGAGAGAAGATCTTCTAACTCCTTTTAACGTTGCATCAACTGTCTGCTCGTGTACACCAAGAAGGTCATGTAACGTAACGTCAACTGTCTGCGCATGTACCAGAAAGGATCCTATGACGTAGCAGCAAGGGTCTGTGCAAGACGAGAGAGGTACTGCAACGTAGCATCCAACATCTGTGCAAGCACATACATACATACATACATACATACATACATACATACATACAAGAGACCCCCCATTCCCACAGGGCGGGAGGGGAGAAACCTCCCCATTCGCACAGGGGGGTGGGGACCAGGACCATGACCATGACGGAGGAGGTGGGGTTAGAGGCCTGTACCATATATTTTACAGACACTCTCCTATTCCCTTCCAAGGCAGCATAGTTATGGTGAGATAGATACAGCGATGTAACATCCCGATAAATCCCGATAATGGGTATTCCCATGAAAATAGACTGGCAACCGCCTGGTAACGATAGTCTGTGGTGTCTGTGTGCAAGGCGCGGGTCGAAGGCATGTCTTTTGCCAAGGCACGCCGTAAAACGGTAAAACCGTAAAATGGTAAATTCCATTGTTCCCCAGAAATGCCCCGTAAAACGGTAAATTCGTAAATTTACGATCTGAGCGTGCCGCTTTCGGAGCGTAAAACGATAAATTTGGTAAATTTGTAAAATTTACCGTAAACCCGTAAAACCGTAAATTGGTAAATTTATAATTTTTCGCGGACAGCGTGAACCGGAGAAGACGGTAAAACCGTAAAATGGTAAATGCGTAAAGGCGTAATGTATCAATATACAGCATGAGGAGGAAGAGGCGGTAAAATCGTAAAACCGTAAATTCGTAAAGTTGTATCATACTACGAGCTTAAAATTTACGGATTTACGGATTTACCGAATTTACCATTGCCCGGAGAGCGTTCTCTCCTTAGCATCATGCCTTAGTATGCCTTACACAGTGACGGCTTGGCGAAAATTATAATGCAATACGTAGGAACCCCCCTCTTGGGGGACTTCCTAAGCAGGGTTATCAAACACTAATAATAGTAACCCCCCAAAGATGCAGACAAGTAATTTGTAATCCCTTTAGGATTGGATGTTACATTTCTATCTCTGGAAATCGGGGATTTAAAAAACGGCCCGCAATGTTTGATGACACCAGAGGGTAGGTGATAAATCATCAAACTTACCAATTTTGGATGTTGAAATCTCCACAATTTCGATGAATTGGTTATACATATCACCGTTTAATCCCTGTCAATCCCATTAAATCATATTGGACAATGGGATACAATGGGTAGATTCATTGGACTAATTGGATTTATTCATTTTGATCTTCCCAGTATCCAGCTGCAGATTTTAAGCCTCCCCTTTGCCATCACCAGACATTGCCTGGCGATACCACGCCGCTCTCAGAGAAAGAGGTGGGGATTTCTGGAGATGAGTCATTGAATAATCCATGTCATTTAATGACACCCTCTGGTTTTGACTAACATAGCCATGGAAACCATGGCCCATAGAAATAGATGATTTTCCCAGCGAACGAAACCACCATTTTTATGGTTGGGATTTTCCATGGCGAACTGTTAGTCATAACCAGATGGTATATATACATACTGTGCATGAGTTGAAGACCCCATTTGCAACGGCGAGAATGATGATGGGTTCAAACGTCAAAGCTGAGCCGATTCTCCAAAATTGGAGATAAATCTATGAATACCAGATATTTCGGTGTGAGAAGGTGTGAGAACTAGGGTATCAGTAAATTGATTTATGTTTTTGTTTTGTAGCCGCATCCCTATAAGGGTACTGGTTGAAATCCCATGATTGAGCCCCATTTCGTTGTTGGTTCTTGTCGTAGCTTTGCTGCCTACATCCCTAATTTTTTTTGTCACATGTTGACGTCTCCATGTTTTTTTCTGCAATCACATTTTTTCCAATGAAAAACCGCCAACGGGTAGCATGCATCATCATACAACCGCATCTGCGCCACTTCTGGAAAAAAAACACAGTGTTGTTGGTGAACATACATCAATTTTTGAACCACCGGATGTTGCTGGCTTACATTCCAATGTTTTTGGCTCGTTGGAAGTCCCCATGTTGATTGGACACAGGACACAGCTTCCAAACATGGCGAATACCCAGAAAATCCTAGAAACTTCTTGGTTATTTTTTCGTTGCGGCGTGGTTGATGGTTTCGAATATGCGGTCCCTGCTTTGTAGGAAGCATGCTTCTAGTGTCTTAGAATCTTGCAATCCACAACGAGATGACCCCAGATTTCAATGTATTTCAGTGGCAGTTTTGTGTTGGCATTCGCAAACCATGTTTCAATTTTCGTACTTAAAGCAACTACAATTAATCCGCTAGCCTCTGGTAATTTATCAGTTTCCTATGGTAAAGTATACTTTTTGAGGTAAACCATTGAACCAAATCATGGCTATGGCTGCCTTCGCTGACAGCGTCACCAGGTTTTTTTTGCCAGGTTTCAGGTCCGCCCCGAGAAACCGGTCGAACGGTCAACCGTCGAACGGCCAGGATAGTCTTTGTCCGCCAAATACGCTGGCTGCGGCGGCCCAGGGGGAGTCGAACGGCCATGGAAAAAGCTTTTGTTTTAAAGGCCACGGCCAGAGGCTGTGAATAGATATATGCAATATATACAATATATATATATACATACATACATGCATGCATACATACAGACAGACAGACAGAGAGAGAGAGAGAGAGAGGGAGAGAGACAGAGAGAGAGAGAGAGGGAGAGAGACAGACAGAGACAGACAGACAGACACAGACAGACACAGACAGACACAGACAGGCACACATACACGCATCCACACATGCACGCATTACATTTCATTACATTTCATTACATTTCATTACATTTACATTTCATTACATTTCATTACATTTACATTTCATTACATTTCATTACATTTCATTACATTTCATTACATTTCATTACATTTCATTACATTTCATTACATTTCATTACATTTCATTACATTTCATTACATTTCATTACATTTCATTACATTTCATTACATTTCATTACATTTCATTACATTTCATTACATTACATTAATTACATTAATTACATTGCATTACATGACATTACATTACATGACATTACATTACATACCATACCATACAATACATACATATACTTATATAAATAAGCATGCGATTTTTAGATAAGTTGGGATGTGGTGAGGCGCTTAACTATGCTTATACCATGTTATACCTCCAGACACCTCTCCGCGAAATCGCTGTTGTTTCAGTGTTGTTTTCCGTGTTCTTCAGGGTTTCAGACTGGTGAAGCAAAAAAAAAGAACGGACATCATTCAGCCAGATATATCTTTCCCAAATATTGCAGTTAGCATCATATAATCAATATAATCCCATCTCCCCCAAGAAACCATGCCGTAGTAGACATATTGAGACATACTGGGACCATAGTTCATGGGTTGTTCAATGGGGGCCGGGGTTGGAATTTGTTCCCATGATTTTCTTGCTGTTTGGCGAAGTGTTTTGGATGGTTTACCGACTTTACCGTTCAACGAGGCCGGGCTGCCGGAAAGCAAAGCGGAAGAGCCGGGGACCGGGATGGGGACCGAGTTCCGCATGGCTTTTGGGGATGATGAAATGATGATTGCTCGTGTGTTTGCTTGCCACGACTGACTCAACAAAAAACGCCTGGATCATGCTGGAGAGTCCTTATTCGTTGTGTAGATGTGCATACCAGATAGTGAGTGGTTTTACCATGTTTTACCATCTGGTAAGTTCACGTAGCTACAGACATTGGCCTTCTTAGTTCGATCATATTCGATGAATCACCGATGAAAAAGGATGATTTTCCAATATTTTCATATATTTTCCATAGCTATGTGAGATTACCAGAGGCTACTAACTAGTACTAACAGAACATGTACTAAGCCGGAAAAACACCCTGGATCCGGTACTCTGGACCGATTCCTGGCTTCCGAGGCCAAAGGCCAACCCTCCAGGCACAGTGGAGTCCTTTTGTCACTCAAAGATAATAGCATTATATATATATATACTGGTTGGTGGTTTCAACATTTTTTTCCCATGATATATGGGATAATCCTTCCCATTGACTTTCATATTTTTCAAGATGGGCACATTGCACCACCAACCAGTATATATATATATTATATATATATATCATATATCATTCTATGTCCATGACTCAAAAATCATTTACCCTCTGGTAATTTAACATAGCGAACTGGAAAATCACCATGCTATTAATGGGAAAATCCACTATTTCAATGGTCATGTTCAATAGCTATTTTGACATAACCAGAGGGTACCCCCCAACTCGAAAAAACACCATGGCTCAACTAGAAAGGCAAATCGGTGAAGATTTTTTCAGGTTTCCATGGCATGTTTTTTTTTTTTTCAGCCATAGATGGAAACATGGACCATGTGTATATATATAATATGTGTATTAGATATGATATGTGTATTATAATATCAATATATATATATAATATGATATAATATCAATTTCAATGTGACATCTTATGATATGATAAAGTCAACAACTATCACGTTCGATTGGCCCGCGGTAAGAGGTGAACAAGGGGTCGTTTTATGTATCGGCCGGTCATGGGAGGTTTCCCCTAGGAATGATTCGCAGGTGCAGCAAATCCTTCGCCAGCTTGGGGTTCTGCGGGTAAAACTTCTTTCAAAAACACCTCATTATAGAAAAAGTAACAGCAAACAACAACAATCGAAATGACCGGCACTTAACCGCACTTAACCATACTTAACCATCTGTCCGGAAATTGTATACCAATTTTTGAGCTCGCCTTTAACTCCACCCGCCAGGAAAATTCAGTGCAGCTTGCAGGCAGTGGCTTCTCAATGGTCTAGGACCGCAATGGTCTCATGGAGAGTTTGCGGTTTCAGTGGTTTCCCTACTATGGGTTACTGTAAGTTATACTATCCCAATAACCTATAAGTATAGGCTACAGTATAGGTAGTAGAACTCCCTATGATAACCAATCCACCAGGCGATTTTGAATGGCTCATATGTTAACCTGGGATGACTTGGATGAAACGTGTTAGCTGCTCATGTATGAAAGCTACCCCTATCGGTGGAAAAGGTATTCTCAAGTAACCTTTGGCAACATGTGTCCACAGTGTCCTTTTGGTTGCATGTTGAGTTGCATTTTTTCGTTTTTTTTTTTGTATTTTAGACTTATTTTTTAACACGTTTGCAGTCTCTGCAGGTCTTCGCCAGTTTCAATGGTAGGTTGATCTATTGAAATAAGTGGGAATCTATGTATATACGTGCTAGTATATAGTTATACAATATATATATATATATTTATGTATACACTAAATAGCCAAGAAAAGCACGATATCCAAGACTGGCACGGGGTGATCCCAATAGCATCTTGGTGAGCCGTCTGAAAATCGGTCACCCCACTAACACCAGCAATTTTCCAGGGGTATCATCGTTTTCATTCGTTTTCATTCATTTCCACACCCATAGGATCCATGTATGGTATATATGCTAGCATTGGGGGTATATTGATGGTAAATGTTACCATATATAGCATACATGGATCCTATGGAACATTAAATGATCTAATTTTGATCCTCTCAATGCTCTCCTTTTTTGGACAAAGCCACGACCCTTGTTTGATGAATTTTGATGGCATTCCCGTGTTGCTTGAAAATCCATGACATGCGCCATAGAAGCAGACATTGCAGCCCTCAAACCAGGGTACAACGGCGTTAGGGTTCTTTGGTCATCAGTCAATGTTCAGCGGATTGACAACAGTACCAACTATGGGGTGGCGTGGATTTCTATACGTTTCTTAGCGCGTGCGCCATTATGCACACGTACTTGATCTACTCTGGGGATTATGTGCACATATTCATGTACTTCATACATCTTCATACTACGCGAACGTTGATGTGCACATGTTTATGTACGTGCTGGCAAAGACCTGTGGAAAAAGTTCCGGCGTTGCCTTGATGACCATTTTCCTGCGGGCATCGCGGACTGGGTCTTCCCTGGGTCTTCATCGAATTCGTTCAGTTACACTTTTTGACACATGTTAAGGTGCGGGTGTGGGGGGGCGTTTTTGGGGGGTGTAATAACGTTCGCTTGAACTTGTAGACGTCACGAATGCTACGTTACCTTGCTATTGGTTCAAAAAGAAAACTAATAGCTGGGGATGTGGGAACGAATGTTCGTGCACTTTTTTTGCACTGATATTCCACAAGAAACTCTTGGGACTAGGTGGAGAAAAACCCGTTCACCACACATTTGCTGCAGTTGTAAAATGCTATTCTCTGCTAATGTCGGAGTCTTAGTTTTCTACGATGGGGCTAAAGTTTGGCTTATTGCTTCCCGGGAGTTTCCATACTCCAACGGAAACAAAAATTAGATACCCAATTTAAGCAGCACAAACAACCACAGAAGAAAAATCCATGGTGAGATCATTACAAATACGTGCAAAGTTGACCGTCTCGCGGCTGCAAAAAGAAGTCTTGGGAACAGCATTTTGAATGACTGGTTGGTGGTGACTGGAACCATGGAATTTTTAATGACTTTCCCATGATATTGGGAATGTCATCATCCCAACTGACGAACTCACTCCATCATTTTTCAGAGGGGTGGGGCTAAAAACCACCAACCAGATATATAATATGCACCCTCTGGTTATTTAACATAGCCATGGAAAATCACCATTTTTAATAGGTAAACCATCTATAAATGGGCCATCTATACCATGGCTAACTGTTAAATATATTTTCATTTGCGATGCACGGTTTACCATAGCTGGAGCACTTATTTTTTTCGCGCTGAGAATACACGGTGATCCGTCACGATTTTTGGGTGGAGCTTCTGGATGGGAAAAACCATTTCAGGGAAACACCTGGTGCAATCACTCATGGCCAGCCTCGCGAATGAGATTCTGACTAATTATGATTGTTTGTTTTTTTTTTAAAGGGAATCACTGTGAAAAGCTAGATATTTTGATATATTTCGAAATTTCCTGTATTTCCTGTAATTTCAGATCAGATGATTTCTTTTTTAATGAATCCAAAAATGAGTCAAGCAGATCACCGCATCGCCGTAGAATGGCCAAGCAGGAAATCCACCACAGCCCTTTGTCGAGATGGCCACGTGGGGAAGCCTTGGTCAAGGAAGTACCGTAAGGGCTCTGCTACCGATGACCTCAGCCTCCAATATTCGGTGGGAAAGGCATGGACCATAATATGTTTATACATATATATACCATTTCAATCCATTAAAAGCCCATTAGAATATATTATAAATATATATATATATAATATATATATTTATAATATATTCTAATGGGCTTTTAATGGATTGAAATGGGATTTTTTCTTTGGATTTCAAGGGGGGTTCATGGGGTTTAAGAATTCTGGTTGGTGCTTTGGAACATGGCTTTTATTTTTCCATATATTGGGAATAAGGTGAACAAGTGACTAATATTTTTGAAGATTATTGCACCACCAACCAGATACATATATCATATATATATATATATATTAATCATCCCAACTGACTAATATTTTTCAGAGGGATTGAAACCACCAACCAGTATATTCAAACGTATAGTTACTGGACATCATATATCATAACAGCTGCTCTGGATCAGAGTTTTTTTTCCCCTTTTTCGGACTTTTCGGTCACACATCCTTTCACTCTGCGACAATCCCATCATATCATGTATCATGTATGATGTATCAAGCTGGCGAAAAATATCACATGATATCCCGCGAAGTCAATGTTTGTCCCATATAAGTCCGTAATATGGGTGTGTCTAGAAATGGGGTATACTAGCTACAAAAATAGGGAAATTGTTGATAAACTATGGGATGGGATTTTTTGGGCTACTCTATTTTCAGACAAACATATATATATATATATGGAGGTTTCCTAGAATGGGGGTACCCCTATATCATCATCCATTAAACAATAGGATTTTCCATGATCGACCTCCAGCTGGGAGATCCCGATCCAGCAAGGCGTCTGCGTTTCCCTGCGCAGCCATCTGTCGTGGAGACTGAGAGACAGGAGCGCAGCGGAGCTGGTGATGGGAGCGGAGCTGAATTGAAGCGGCAAAGATGGCCATAGAAATAGTTGATTTAGCTATTAAACATGGATAACATGGGGACTTTCCAGTTCGCGAACTGTTTAAATTTACTGGAGGGTATGTATTACCAAACAGGATTTTTCTCGGAATTCCAAGCCATTTTTCAGCAATGTACAATGAATCAATACAGCTTATGGGCTTGTTTTGCATTTTACTTGGGACATGAAAAAATGGGGATTCAATCACCCAGAAATGCAGAATTTCATCGTTTTTTTTTTTGATTTTTTTTTATCGGATAGTACCAGAAAAAACTTGATCGATCAGCACCAATGAATGGTGGTTTATCATGGTTTATCAACGATAAATGAGGATTTCACTCGGAATAAATGGGAGCCAGAACTGCTACATTCAAATCTCGAATGGAGACATTGCCAATCGTGCAAATCCAATGAGTTTTAACTAAGACATAGTTCTTGGTTTTGATTTTCGGAGTTTCCCTACTTTATTTATCTTTATTAAGTGATGTCCAGTTGGACATCACTCCCTCCTTCAGGAGGGGCAAGCTTTGCCCAATCCCAGCGATTCGCGGCAGACAGCCGAGTATGTGGTGGCCCCAGCGGTTTTTTGTTCAGCCAAATCATTGGGAAAAAATGATGGGAAAAGATAAACACTTCTCAACATGGACTGATGGATATAATAGTGCTGTATTATATGTATTATATCTAATTTTACATATAATAATAATACATAGCACTAGAAATATTAATACATATAGCACTATAATCTATGATGGAGCACATCATTATCATAATTTTAATCTTAATGCATTAATCTTAATGCATAATTCACATGCATTGACTATCACCAACAATAATGGTGAGAACGTTTTGCATATAACCAAACACAGGAACCATCAGGAACCTGTATTTACCGGATTAAAACATCAACCACCAACAACAAATAGGGTATGTGTAGTTCAAGGACCGCACCTCGAATCACCTTGAGAAGCATCCGCTTAGTCAGCCAAAGCATCCAGTCTGAACATATCGAAGGCGAAATGGGTGATTCCCATTGTGATATGACGTTTTGGCCCATTCCCATTTCAACCAAACATCTTGGTAATAGCATTCTTTTTGGTCGATTGCCATCTTTGCCCAATTCTGTTGTTCAAACAACTTTTTGTTTAATTGTTTAACAGTTCAATGTTTTCTGCATGTGTCCTCAATTTGTTTGTCAAAACCCTAGTCATTGGTGCTTAAGCATGCTGTCATTCATTTTGGGGTGCATCCGATTTAGTAACTGCGTTATAACCAACTAATTCATCTGGGCTACGGCAAAAACCCTGGTTGTGTCAACCATCCCGAGGTCTCTCAGCCGGGACAGACTGCGATGGCGGAGAGGCACGGGTGATCTACAGGGTCTGAACATGAGAACTTATCCCAAAATCAATGAAATCCTGTGGATTTTTCAGAAATCCTGCACCAGTTACGGTAACTACGAAAGAAACACTGTATATAAATATAATCGGATTATAATGGGATAAACATGGATAAACCATTGGACCATCCATATACCAATTGGTTTTTGGATTTCTTCATCCACAGTATGATGGGTATCTGACCACCAGTCACCTAGTGATGACATTGGTCATTATTGCGCCAATAATGGGCCGGGATATACATGAGGCCTTAAACCACTTGAGGATGATCCATGTTGGGGAGCATAGTTCTTTTACCTAGCAATATGTAGCACTTTGAATGAAATAATGAGTATCTAAACAACAAACATGTGGATATGTATATTGCGTATCTAATGGATATATAACCAACATTTGGCTCTGAGTAGTGGTTTCAAGCATTGTGATAGTCCAGCCTATTTGAGATAATCCACATCGACTTTTTTTGAATAGGTTGAAAACACCAACCATTCTCATGGCGATTTTAATGGGGACAGTGAGGATGAAAATGGCAAATACTCCCAACATGTTCATGGCAATAAATTGTATATAAATGATTATAAATGTATGCAATTTTCATGAAGAATCTGTGCATTTTTTAATGGGGAGAATCGGGTTTTAATGAAGATTTACAAATGGGGTTTTCAACCAGGTGTTAACGACTGGATCGATCGTATACGGAATACCGTATATTTTCAACCAAAGAACCGGGAATTGCCCGGGGACCGACATCATCTGCAAAGGGACAGTTTCACCAGCAAAAATGTGGGGAAAAAAATCCATGAATTTTCTATGATCTAGCAGGAAAGAAATCCAGGGGAATTGGCACTGCCAATGAACAGGACACATCTTTGGGTGGTACGGACACATTCATATTTCGGTCATGTTCAAGCCCTTGATCCCTTGATCCCATTCTGATGATTTGAGAAAAATTACCCATGCTGCTGAAGAATTTTTGCGGCAACATGAATCAATGGTTCTTTGATGTTCTTTATTTCTGTGAGATGTAGCCATGTGTATAACATAATATTATATATATATTATATAGAGGCAAGTTGACCGGTAGAAAGGGGGTGAAACCAAGCCGTAGCCGCAAACTTCCGTGCCCCCATGGTAGAACTCGAGATGGAGATTGGTCAACACCATATGACTGAGGGATTTCCAGTACCGTTTGGGCACCAGGGTGTTGATCCATCCGTTGAGGCACCACCTAGTAGTCGTTGCCAGCCCATAATGGATCCGCTTCAGTTGCCAAGGGAACCCCCTCTTGACAAGTGGCCAGGATGAAACACCCCTGGCCATCCAAAAGAACAACCTTTGGTTCACAGTTCTACTTCAAGATATTCTTGAACCTCTGAATGGGGTAATGATTTCCAGTTTACTAACTCATAGTCCCTTTGTGAAGGGCTCACCAGCAAGCCAACTATAGTGGACAGGTTCCTCTTCTACATCATGATTCCCAGGACCATTTTAGCCCATTTTGTGGTAAAAGCCAGTTTTCCCGTAAATGTTCCCATCTCAACAGATCAAAGAGGATGCCTAACTCCCCGCTCCTTGGAGGAACATCCCGCGACTTGGATGGGGTAACCCGAGCTCGATTGGATGGGACCCTATAGGTACCCCATGAGTGGCAAAAACGAGCCCGACCCTAACTCGCCGCGCAGATTTTCGGCTTGGAGCACGGCCGGCTTCATGCTGCACTACGACCGATTGCTCGGGGGCCCGCTCCAGCGGAAAACGGAGAGGCTGTTTGATGTGCAAAGTTGATGCAAACCACAGCTTTCGTGCCAGAGTTTGTTTGGGAGAGGGAAACTTGAGCAGCTTCCAAAAACGCAGTTGGCTTAATAACATACTGAGGGTTATCATAATCATGGAAATCACCATGAGAACAAAGTATTACAATGTGAAATTGTCCAATAGTTCAGAGGAGGAAGTAACTTGTAGACACTGGCGACTCACACAGCTGGTGGACTGCCCATTCAAGTCGTGTTTGATGAATATGTCAGCATGACTCAGCATGACTTCCAAGATGTTTGATCTTGAGAGGAAATCAATAGGTTCTGGGGCTCTGGTAAACTCCTTTCTCAGGTATCCTTATGAGTATAATGGATTGTATTCTTTTTTGCCTAAATGATGTGGATACCAAATGAACCGAAGTCGCTGGTCGCAGCAACATGCACAAAAACACATCCCATGTTTGCTTTTAGCTTTCAAGGGATGCCAATTTGAACGAACAATCGAGTGACTATGATCACACACACACATAGATAATATTTATAATATATATATAATTTATAATGTGTACATATATATATAATTATATATATATAATTATATATATAATGTCGTTGGGTTAGTCCATTTGCAGCTAAGATTGGGATAGAATATGATAGAATGAGGCATTCTCCAGCCAGTGGCCGTAGCGCATAGGTTTGAATCATCGTTGAAGCGAGCAGCGTGTTGTTATGGTTCAGGCTGGTCCCCACCACGCCTCCGAGGCCCACATGCCACTGCCTAACGCTGCTTGCTTTCTGAAACCTCTAGAAAAGTAGCTTTTGTAGCCTGCCTAATGTTGCTTTCTGCCTTACGTCGCTTTCTGAACCTACCCTGTAGTAGAAAACTACTGGTAGCTGTCCATAGCTGTCTTCCATCCGTGCTTTTCTTCTTTCTTTCGGTGCTCCTGTTGCTTGCCTCGCGCTTGCTCTTGCAGCGCCGTGCTGCAAGTAATTGCTTCTCTGACGCGCTCCCCCGTGCCGTTGGCAGGTGTCGACGGATACTATTGGCATCCCGACAGTTGGATTTTGTCCAAGAAAGTGAAACCCTCTTGTGAGTTTACCTGTCTTACTCGGCTACATCCGTCTAATCATCCCTCAATCACTGGGTCGGTCAAAGGGACCATCTACATTGATTTTAACATACCAAACATGGAGTTTCTCCATAAAATTCACCAAAAACAATTTTTTGACTAGACTACCCTAAGCAATGATAAGATTAGAGCAGCTAAATTTACTCCCAGATTTTGATTCACGGCGACTCGGTAATTAAGGGATTAACTCCCCAATAAGTGATAGTCTTGTACCAAAATGGCACCTCCGAATCGAACAGCCCAGGGGTGAATAACAAGTCGTTCTTGAAATTACATTTTGAACCTGCAATCTGAATAGTGAACATTAGGTTTTAAATATTAGATTTTAGGGGTAGTCCATGTGTGGACACACCCGGACGGCAAAATGAACATGTCAACAGCCACATCATCCATATCCATTGTGCCTGAATATATCAACATCCATATTTTTTTGGTGTTAAGTCCCACTGTTACTGTCCCATTTTGGGGGTGTCAACTCCACATTATCATTATCATTATCATTATCATTGTCATTATCATTCTTATATATTATGTACATATAATAATAATAATATAATATATATATATATAATTATACAATACATTAACTATTGCCCATTTGAAACGTGTTCTTAGTTTTTTTTGACTTTACCACATCAATAACCATTTACAATCCATATGTATATGTAGCCAACCACTTCATAATTTTTCATCATAATTCTTCAATTTACCATACAGTTTTTTGATCCAGTTTTTCCGCTTTCAGGTTAGAGGCCACGCAGGACCTGTCGACCTGTCGCGTTGGGAAGATGTGGAACTGGTAGAGGATGAGTATATAACCAACGAACCAATGGCGATTTAAACCATTAAAATCGGGATATACAGAGTCATATCACACGTATATATCTAATGATGATCAGGTTGGTGGTTTCATTCCTAGTTTTTTTTCTTCAACCTTAGCAGCTTCAGGGGGTGTTGATCCCTGACATTCACTTGTTTTTTTCGGGTTGAAGTCACCAGGAGGATCCGCTACGACCCGAGCTTCGACACTCGGGCATCGCGATGAGCAAAGCCATAAAGGTCGGGGTTGAAGCGACGGGAGGAGTTTCCGGGAATTTCACAGGGCGAATGTCAGTTTTTTACCATCTTTTACCCATGTTCCATTGCCACATTACTGAAGGATTTACTGAGATTTACCATGATTTATCCTGACTGGAATCTGATTTGCCTGAAAATGGGGCACCCTCAATTTCAAGGTATTCTCATCATTTTCCTGATCAAGCCCTAACCATTTTGGGGTATACACCCTTTTTGGATTTGAAAACTGACCCAACAAAATGCAGGGATCTTGGAGTTGAACCAACCTGTTTTTTTTTTGGTGGATTTGACCAGCAAGAGTAGCTTCAGAATTTTGGCTATTCCCACGTGCTCAACGGTTTTTGCAGAGAGTTATATGATATTAATTGATATTATATGTGTCGATGTAATATACCTACCCTTGTTCTACACTGCAAATGATTGGAGGTCTGAATCGACAAAATTCGGAGTTGAAGCAATAGAAGCGGGGGTTGTGCTACAGGTGGCTCGGTGTTTTTCCTGGGTCAGCAGCAATTTCACTGGGATTTTCGCAGAGCTGATTGAGAGTTCGGGCCTGATGCATGTAATTACCTTCGTGATTATTATTTCTGAGAGGTCTTGGAGACGGTGCGAAATGAACCCCAAAGATAGATGCAGTTATATGATTTTTAGGTCAAAAAAATCTGGAACAGCTTTGTCTGAAAGTTGCCCAGCTCTCTGAAAGCCCGTTTCAATATGTATTTGGTCGAGTCGCTCCTTGAGGAATCGACCTAGGTCACATTTGACTGCCATTTTGTTCGCAGCTCATACGAATGTCTCCGGGATTTTACACTAACCAGATTCCAATTGTCAACCAGTTGGGGGCTATGATTCAAAGACCCAATTTCATAAACTACAAATTGGGTTTGTCTGAAAATGGGGTATATACCCCCCATTGGCAACTTTCAACAGGGAACATGATAATTCTGCAGTGGGAGGGGTTTTCCTCCAACTTTTCAGACAAACCCAAATTGGTGATAGCGACTATGGCAGGCCTTTGCAAGTGCAGACCTACGTGCGCGCCGCGAGCTGGAAACCTCAGTTGTTTATGCTTGGCCATGAAGATTGGCAAAATTGTGATATGTTGTTGAATCATCCGTTTGTTGGGGTCAATAATTTTGATATTTTTTGACGCATACCTATACTAGCTTGTGTTGTAAAACCAGCATTGAGTAACAAAGATTATCCATCTGTAACCACATCTAAGTGGACAACGAAAGCCTGGAAGACCTCTTCACAAACCCCAATTTTTGGACATTTTGAAAGGGAGAACAATGATCAACCCAACTCCTTGGACACAATTCCGGCATCCATCCTTCCCAATGGGTTGTGTTGGGAAAATCTATAGGAAACCCATGGAACCCAGCCATGACCAGCCGATATTTTTGAAGATCGAATCCATGGTGTTTCCCACCAATCCGTGGTTCATCCTGCGACAAAATGCAGTGACTGCAGTGAGACGATAAAGTATGATCAAATCGCCTCTTGCTGGTCATTGTTAGTTGCTTTTGATTGGATGTCTAATGGTTGATGTTTTGCCAATCTGGATAGAGAAATCCTCGGATATCGATCATCATCCCTGACCGCTTTTCCCTGGAGAACGTAGCATTCAGTATTGATCATTCCTAATTATGCAATATGCTGACACTCTGACACCATCATTGACATTCCAATCTGCCCAAGAGGGATACAAAGTTTAGTACAAACCACAGGGGCTGATCTTTGCAGTGGTCAAACAAGGGACAAGGGACTCAACTGTTTCATTTGAATGGATGTTGGTATAGGTGGGCAGCCCTGTTTCTATGTGGTTATTGATGTCATCTCATAATTCCCAAGGTTTCAAGTTTGACCAAGATTTCCATTCTGTTTGCTGTTCTGCTGTGGTTCATATACACACATGTAGGTTTCCATAAATGGGGATACCCCAATAGCTGGATGGTTTATAATGGCAAATCATATGAAAATGGATGATGGTTAAAAGAAACACATATCTCCTCCATTCTCTGGTGGTTTCTATCCTTGGTGCGGAGGCAGCACAGCCTCGTGGTGCGGCAACGCCTCGAGAATTTGGGGAAGGATGAGGGTCTGGGACTCTGGGACGAAGTGGTGCCTGTGATGCTGAGTAAAAACCATCAAATATGGTGATTGAACCCCAGGCAAAATCGTGATATCATGGGGATACATAACTTATTATACGACCACCAGTATCTCAAGCATCTGGAGCTAAGTTAGTTTATAATTGTTTATAAGGTTAACTGGTATCTATGAGGAATACTATGAGTATATAGACAAGTTGAGATCCCAGTTAGTAACCATGGTACCAGTATAAACCACTTATGAATGGCATAAATCCTGGCGCCCCTCCCCAGTCAAATGTTTGTTGACTTTCTTTCTTCTAAATTGATGCTCGGTTGACATGATATAACCCTTCTTAGAAAGTGCTTAGTGATAATTTTGGTGACCGGAGTGATGACAATCCACAACAACTCCGGTCTCTCACCACTCTCACCACTCTCACTTTGTTGATGTTCAACCAACATTTTTGGTGCTTCAATGCTTTTTACCAATGATTCACCAAGGACAAATTTGGTACCTGTAGATGCTGGTAGGAGAAGCCACCTCCAAATCAGCTTGCCTCACCTTATTTTGAATTATGCCATTCCAGCCAGATAAATCCATCCATTCATGAACTATATCCATCCATTCAACTATTTGCCAACGATTCACCAACCATTCACCAGGCTCAATTCTTCCTCTTCCTACATCACCACGTTCCCTAGGTCTGCCGGAACCAGCCGACATTCAGGCGAGCAGAATCAGAGGTAGTTTAAAATACCTGTTCGTATGTTTAAAAGTCCGTATATTTAAATGTAGTTACCATATATTTATATATTATATATATATTAATAAACGTACTTATATGGATGTTATATGTATCATTGTACATGTTTTAATGGTACCATTTATAATGATAGAATGTTATAGTATGTTATAGTGATATTATAAACCATTTCATAATCCTATACACATATAATCATATTCATATGTATTGTGTATATATATATATTATATTGTCCAATTTAACAAATGATGATACAAAAAGAAAGTGCTAGAACTTTACCCGGATCCAGCTGGGCTTCGTCAGGGATGAACAATCATTCGTCCGGTTTCATGAGATTGTCCATGACTTTTCCCTCTGTGATGGCAATCTTTTAGTGAACATTTAACCAACGTTTAAATGCTAATGTTTTTTTTGGATCCAGGTGTGGAAAAAGCAGTGACATGTTGTGATTAGGGTTGAAGAAAGGCGGAAAAACCTCCGACCACTGATGAATGGTAGGTTAAGCCGCAATGTCACATTGTAGGTACTGCAGTATGTAGTGGGGATTCTCTTGGTTTTCGTGCATTTCACAAGTTCTATCAAGTTATCAAGAAGAAATCAAACGGTCACAATTATCCATACGTGATGTTGGTTAGGAGATCTAAGCGCCAGCAATGTGTTGTAAATGGGTTTTCCCCGAATCAGATAAGTAAACCGCAAGGTTGAATGGCTGACATGCCCACAAAACAGAGATTTTACCAACGAAAATGGTGGTATAACCAGCAGTTGCTGTAAGTGATGGGTAAACCGACTACTGAATGGTATGTTGACGGTTCCAATTTTTGGCTGCTCTTGAGGAGGACTATTTGATGCTCCGCTTTTTTGCCATTTCAGAATAGAAGATCTTTCAGCTTTCCCCACCATTGGTAAATGATATATGCATGCTGTGATGTGGCTATGAGTCAAAACCCTGGTACCTAGTGAACCCCAAAATAGCTGGGATTGACCCATACCCATGTGTACCTGCATGAGGAGAATGATAGAGGGAACTGCCACTCTTTGGTTGAACGGGGATGGCTGCTGTCATTGGCTTGAAACCAAGATTTTTTTTCGATCATGAGATCCTGCAAGATTGTGCCCAAGTTCTGCTGCTTGGTTTACAACATTACCTTGTTCGATATACAATATAATTATATATACATAATATATATATATGTATAAATACATAATATATATAGATATATACACTATATATATATAGATATATACAGAATATATCTATATATATACATAATATATATAGATATACACGATATATATATATTATGTCATTACATATATATATACATACATTATATATATATATACATACATTATATATATACACACGTAATATATATATATATATACACATAACATAGTATATATATATATTATACATATCTACCATAAACCCAAGCATCAACCGAAGTGTTCATTCACCAACTGACCAAGGCTAGTGAGGTGGTGAAGGGTGCAGCTCCGACGCCACCTGGATGAAGACTTTTTCCGTCAAGTTTTTTTTTTTTTTAACGGACGTCTTTAATTTAAGCTTGATTTGTGGGATTTGATTTTAAGAAACAACACATGTTGACATGGATTATCATGCATTGAGGTTCAGGTGGCTTTAAGTTTTCGACATTTTGGTTGATGGACTTTCAGAACCAACAAATATGTGGATTTAATATGGCTTAACATGATTCAATCAATATAATCAATAAACCTAGTAGATTTGAGCAGCATTTAAGCGACAGAGATGGGGGTTTGTTTCCAACCCGAACGAGGATTGAAGCAGCACAGACAGAATCTGGGAAGTTGGAGATAAGTGTTGAATAAGCAGAGATATTCGATAAACATATGCAGACAGGTTAGATGTATCACCATTTCAGGATTGAATTTTACTTTTCCATCTTTTTGTGGGTTCGGCAAGAGCAATAGGGAGATACCAACATAGCGAATGCAACTAGGGAGACAATGACACAAACAACATAGTACATCAATGATTACCATAGTTCCATCACGGTTTTCATGCCCCCCATATTTGGGATCTCGGTGAAAATTTGGGATGATGATCTCAACTGCCAGATGGGAACATCGACACAAAAAAGGGCCACGCAGCAGACCCACCACATTGATGGTCTTTTGAGGAGCAAATCAGGTTTTCGTCCCCGCACCAACCAGTGAGACAAAGAAAACACCAACGAACCTGGGCCGGACTTCTGTCGGATTGCCCAATGGGAGGAGCATGGAGGACCACAAGAGTTGACCAATGCATTGGTACCCCATTCGGCTGCCGGATTCTTGTTGGTCAATTTTCTGCTCAGGTCGGTAACACCTGCAATGCCCACCTCTCATGTGGAAGGCCAATGGTCGGAAGGATTTCAGCAACATTTACCCACGAAAATTTGGGATATCAATGGCTATCATGAGGATATCATGAGGATATCATGGGTATATCATGAGGATATCATTGGTAGTTTAGAAGCAATGATGATTTGGTTGATAGTTCCAAAGATTGTTTGGGATAATGATGCCAGTGGGAGCTGCAAGACATCCATAGCTGAGCTGATTGGCTAAGCTGAGCTGATTATGAAGCCACTGGAGACCTCCACAGACACCGGGGGAAACCTTGGCCAGGTGAAACATTTGTTGGAAATTCAATCCCCATAGTTGGGTGATGTTCAATTAGGACATTTACCAACTCCTGTGAAAGGGATCTTTTTTTTGCTACAATTGAATATATTGAATGCGCGAATACGATACCTAGCATTTTTCGTGCGAGCTACTCGTAGTGGTTTAGCAAATCCAAAAACACCAACCAAACCAAGCAACAGTTCATCATTGAAAACAGGGCTTCTCTGAAAATGTTGGGAAAACATGGGAACGCCTTCAAATCACATGGCTTATCATCAGTTTTCCGATTTAAACTTGCCATGAAATGGTGCAACAACATTATCAAATCTACATAAACCATCCATTTAAGTAGATTTTCCATTATAAACCATCCAGCTTATTACCTCCATCTATCCCCTATATAAATCGCAAATCTTCCTTTTTGGACCCCTTGGTTCACTGAACCACCTGTTTTCGGTCGGATCCTGCCAGGCTTGTGAAGACATGCCGAGATCTCGTCCAAGGTGGTGCCCCCTGGATTCCGGGCGTCTAAATGGGATCAGAAAGAATGGCTGTGAAATGTCGGGTCTGTTTGCTGACATTTTATGGAAATCCCGTTTTTTTTTGATGACTTTTGATGTCCATAGGCATCATTTGACGTCGAAATTTGGCAACATTTGCAAAAAGACATAAAAAAAACATCATTTCACTGGACCATTTGGTGAACACCTGCCAACAAATAAGGCCGGGCTGTTATATATATATATACGTATATATATATATATCTATATAAGTATACGTACTAATTACAATAAACCCAACGGTTAAGCCACTTAAATCCCACCATAACTTTGCGAAGTGGTGCCCACAAGATTTGTTCTTACGGGCCATTGGTGAGCCCTACAGGGTGGTGCTAAGTTGGTGCTAAGTCCAATAACTATTGTGGTTTATAGGTGATATATCGAACTAGTTTTCATGGGATTTCCGATTTCACTATGGTTTTTGTATGGTTTTTGTTGGTGATATATCGAACTTATCGAACTAATTGAAACATGGGATTATAAGCCATTTATCACAGGGAAAACCACCTTTTTTCAGAATGTGATTAGCCCTTTTTCAGCATGGGGATGTGACCAACAACCTGCAGCCATCGGATGAGTCCTCTGCAATTTGGCCATTTTGCTGCCAAATTTTTCTACGAATTGGATGATAAACTTATGGGAAAAACCCATGGAAAAACATATGTCGTTCAGACATTTCCATCCAGTAGGCTACTGTAGATTAACTCAATGGACCATTTGTTTCCAGATTCTCCAGGATGGGATGGACGATTTGAAACCAGTTGGGCCTCTTTTTTTGGGATGTATGCTTTTTTGGATTATCATGGGGCTAATCATGGGCTGAGAATCCCAATGATTGGATTGATATGGATTGATTGGATCATGATGTTCTGAGCATTTTTCAAGAATTTTAAAGTGAATCATCTAAAAAACACTGTGGTTTTAACACAACAAAATCAAGCTCCAATTTGGGATTGATGGATTGCGTATACCGCGCACTTCGTGTAAGAATTACATAGAATTACCAACTTCGACCCCGGCCGAGGTCTGATGAGCTTGGCCGATTTGAGTGATTTGGGTGCTCGCACTTCAGTGATGTTAATTTGGGCCATGGCACTTTTTTGGGAGCAGATTGGCCCGAGTTTCGCAAGTGTATGGCAGTCTATCTTGAGTTGATATAAAATCCAGCGGGTCACCGGGTTTGAGGCCAAGAATACGTGTCATTAAAAAAGCGTGGGTTGATATGTGTACACACGTAGACGAGTATGTATGTTGCATCCTGTTCGTCTATGTGTAAATGCATCAAAAGGTGGTATGTATATATATATATATTATAATATATTTTAATATATATATATTATATTATATATATTATATTATATTTTATTTTATTATATTATATTATATTTCATTATATTATATTATATTATATATATATTATATATTATATATATTATATTATATATATTATATATATTATTATATATTATATATATATATTACATTATATTTATTATATAATATATATTATATATATTATATTATATATATTATATTATATATATTATATTATATATATTATATTATATATATTATATTATATATATTATATTATATATATTATATTATATATTATATTATATATTATATTATATATTATATTATATATTATATTATATATATTATATATATTATATATTATATATATTATATATTATATATATTATATTATATATTATATTATATATAATATTCTATATAGTATATTATATGCATTATATTATATATATATTAGATAAAAATATATGTTACAACATAAACTGTGTAGGCATGTATAGGAAAGCTTAAACTTTGCTATGTTATACATTGGCTATATTATACATGTAATACAGTATAAACCACAGATTCGACATATTCACTGCTTGTAAATCATTATTACAATTTTTACCTTGCACTTCTCATAGATACACAGCTATTGTACGTGTGCCCTGTCGATTGAAGCACCCTGTCACCCACGGCACTGCGCCCCCTAGATGCGGCGGGGCTGAGAACTAACGAGCTGAGTGGGTCCAAATGAGACAGCGGGCCCAGAACGCATAGCTGTTGATTGATTGTGAAGACTAGATGGTTATAATGGATATGTCATGGTGATTTCACCAACAGCAATGGTGATTTTCCACATGATTTAAGCAACAAGAATGGTGTTTATTTTCTCGGGTTTTAATAGGGATACTTTGTGGGTCAACTTCCCCAAATGGAAGAACTTTTGTTGGTGAACTATCCTTTATTGTCCATTTATATACAACACAGTGTGACACACTTATACACACTTGCTCAGACACTTATGCATGTATATGATTATATATATTATATACATATTCTAATATAAATAGATATATAATTGTAATATCATCATACATATATATATATATATTATACACACTGTATGTGCAGTGTTCAAAACCATCTGTCGTCCACTGGCTGGTCAATAGGATTTTCCTGTTTAGCGATAATCCCCGTTTTGTATTGGATAGTAGAACCCCATACAGTAATTAATTAACGGTGTTGTAGCAGCCACTGCCACATTATATACAGTAGCTTTGTATACCCATCAGCTAATGTATTCTTTTGTAGGGTCTCCAAGATGGGCCATAAGCAGGTCAAAAAAGTTGTCATGTTGCAAACTGTGGATAAAAAACACCATTTATGTTGATGGTAAAAAACATGTTCCAAGAATTCGGATTTTACGAACCAGAACGAATTGAGATATTTTCTTCATAAGAATACGCTTAAACAAAGGGATAGAACGGGAATAAAATCATCTTTTTTCATGTTTAAATGGGCCAAAGTTCCAACCCCGTCGCGAAAACATGCGCCGCACCCCGGGTGTTTTTCGTTTTTTTGCGTTGCCTGCGCATTTTCCGGTGGGGTACTGGTCGTATGGCATTGCAGTAGGAAATCCACCATCTCAGTATGAATGTATACATGTGTATATATATATATAGTATATATACTAGTGGACTAGCACATAGAATATTCGATTTTATTGACTATGCAGTTAGAATAGCCTTAAAACCATATGTCCCCGGGGTAAAACCAGTGCACTTAGAATATTCGATTTTTGCACATGTATAACATAATTTAAACATAAAAGCATGGTTTTAATAGAAATTTAGGACTGTTTCACAAAATCGATACACATAGAATATTATTTGCATGCGTTCCTATGTGCAATGGGGATGCTTTGTACATGTAAACATGATAAACATGCATGTACATATGTATATATGTATATATATAGAAGCCAGCTAGCAGCTATTTAGAAGCTATTCAGCAACTATTTGGAAGCTATTTTAGCAGCTAGCTAGCAGCTATTTAGAAGCTATTCAGCAACTATTTGGAAGCTATTTAGCAGCTAGCTAGCAGCTATTTAGAATCTATTCAGCAACTATTTGGAAGCTATTTAGCAGCTACCTAGCAGCTATTTAGAAGCTATTCAGCAACTATTTGGAAGCTATTTAGCAGCTAGCTAGCAGCTATTTAGAAGCTATTCAGCAACTATGTGAAAGCTATTTAGCAGCTAGCTAGCAGCTATTTAGAAGCTATTCAGCAACTATTTGGAAGCTATTTAGCAGCTAGCTAGCAGCTATTTAGGGGCTATTCAGCAACTATTTGGAAGCTATTTAGCAGCTAGCTAGCAGCTACTTAGAAGCTATTCAGCAACTATTTGGAAGCTATTTAGCAGCTAGCGAGCAGCTATTTAGAAGCTATTCAGCAACTATTTGGAACCTATTTAGCAGCTAGCTAGCAGCTATTCAGCAACTATGTGAAAGCTATTTAGCAGCTAGCTAGCAGCTATTTAGAAGCTATTCAGCAACTATTTGGAAGCTATTTAGCAGCTAGCTAGCAGCTATTTAGAAGCAATTCAGCAAGTATTTGGAAGCTATTTAGCATCTATTTAGTAGTTATTCAGCAACTATTTGGAAGCTATTTAGCAGCTAGCTAGCAGCTATTTAGATGCTATTCAACAACTATTTGGAACCTATTTAGCAGCTAGCTAGCAACTATTTAGACGCTATTCGGCAACTATTTAGAAGCTATTTAGCAGCTAGCTAGCAGCTATTTAGAAGCTATTCAGCATCTATTTGGAAGCTATTTAGCACCTATTTAGTGGTTATCCAGCAACTATTTAGAAGCTATTTAGCAGCTAGCTAGCAGCTATTTAGAAGCTATTCAGCAACTATTTGGAAGCTATTTAGCACCTATTTAGTAGTTATTCAGCAACTATTTGGAAGCTGTTTAGCAGCTAGCTAGCAGCTAGCTAGCAGCTATTTAGAAACTATTCAGCAACTATTTGGAAGCTATTTAGCAGCTAGCTAGCAGCTATTTAGAAGCTATTCACCAACTATTTGGAAGCTATTTAGCAGCTAGCTAGCAGCTACTTAGAAGCTATTCAGCAACTATTTGGAAGCTATTTAGCAGCTAGCTAGCAGCTATTTAGAAGCTATTCAGCAACTATTTGGAAGCTATTTAGCAGCTAGCTAGCAGCTATTTAGGAGCTATTCAGCAACTATTTGGAAGCTATTTAGCAGCTAGCTAGCAGCTATTTAGAAGCTATTCAGCAACTATTTGGAAGCTATTTAGCAGCTAGCTAGCAGCTATTTAGGAGCTATTCAGCAACTATTTGGAAGCCATTTTGCAGCTAGCTAGCAGCTATTTAGAAGCTATTCATCAACTATTTGGAAGCTATTTAGCAACTAGCTAGCAGCTATTTAGAAGCTATTTAGCAACTATGTGAAAGCTATTTAGCAGCTAGCTAGCAGCTATTTAGAAGCTATTCAGCAACTATGTGAAAGCTATTTAGCAGCTAGCAAGCAGCTATTTAGAAGCTATTCAGCAACTATTTGGGAGCTATTTAGGAGCTAGCTAGCAGCTATTTAGAAGCTATTCAGCAACTATTTGGAAGCTATTTAGCAGCTAGCTAGCAGCTATTTAGAAGCTATTCAGCAACTATTTGGAAGCTATTTGGCAGCTATTTAGCACCTATTTAGTAGTTATTCAGCAACTATTTGGAAACTATTTAGAAGCTAGCTAGCAGCTATTTAGAAGCTATTCAGCAACTATTCGGAAACTATTTAGCAGCTAGCTAGCAGCTATTTAGAAGCTATTCAGCAACTATTTGTACACTATTTAGCAGCTAGCTAGCAGCTATTTAGAAGCTTTTCAGCAACTATTTGGAAGCTATTTAGCAGCTAGCTAGCAGCTATTTAGGAGCTATTCAGCAACTATTTGGAAGCTATTTAGCAGCTAGCTAGCAGCTATTTAGGAGCTATTCAGCAACTATTTGGAAGCTATTTAGCAGCTAGCTAGCAGCTACTTAGAATTATTCAGCAACTATGTGAAAACTATTTAGCAGCTATTTAGTATTTATGCAGCAAACTATTTGACATAACTATTTTATGCAAGTATTCAGCAACTATTTTAGAATTATTCAGCAACTATGTGAAAACTATTTAGCAGCTAGCTAGCAGCTATTTAGAAGCTATTCAGCAGCTATTTGGAAGCTATTTAGCAGCTAGCTAGCAGCTATTTAGAAGCTATTCAGCAACTATTTGGAAGCTATTTAGCAGCTATTTAGCAGCTATTTAGAAGCTATTCAGCAACTATTTGGAAGCTATTTAGCAGCTAGCTAGCAGCTATTTAGACGTTATTCGGCAACTATTTGGAAGCTATTTAGCAGCTAGCTAGCAGCTATTTAGAAGCTATTCAGCAACTATGTGAAAGCTATTTAGCAGCTAGCTAGCAGCTATTTAGAAGCTATTCAGCAACGATGTGAAAGCTATTTAGCAGCTAGCTAGCAGCTATCTAGAAGCTATTCAGCAACTATTTGGATACTATTTAGCAGCTAGCTAGCAGCTATTTAGAAGCTATTCAGCAAGTATTTGGAAGCTATTTAGCAGCTAGATAGCAGCTATTTAGGAGCTATTCAGCAACTATTTGGAAGCTATTTAGCAGCTAGCTAGCAGCTAGCTAGCAGCTACTTAGAAGTTATTCAGCAACTATGTGAAAGCTATTTAGCAGCTAGCTAGCAGCTATTTAGAAGCTATTCAGCAACTATGTGAAAGCTATTTAGCAGCTAGCTAGCAGCTATTTAGAAGCTATTCAGCAAGTATTTGGAAGCTATTTAGCAGCTATTTAGTAGTTATTCAGCAACTATTTGGAAGCTATACAGAAGCTAGCTAGCAGCTATTTAGAAGCTATTCAGCAGCTATTTGGAAGCTATTTAGCAGCTAGCTAGCAGCTATTTAGAAGCTATTCAGCAAGTATTTGGAAGCTATTTAGCAGCTATTTAGTATTTATTCAGCAACTATTTGGAAGGTATTTAGCAGCTAGCAGCGATGTAGAAGTTATTCAGCAACTATTTGGAAGCTATGTAGCAGCTATTTAGCACCTATTTAGTAGTTATTCGGCAACTATTTGGAAGCTATTTAGCAGCTAGCTAGCAGCTATTCAGAAGCTATTCAGCAACTATTTGGACACTATTTAGCAGCTAGCTAGCAGCTATTTAGAAGCTATTCAGCAACTATTTGGAAGCTATTTAGCAGCTATTTAGCAGCTAGCTAGCAACTATTTAGGAGCTATTCAGCAACTATTTGGAAGCTATTTAGCAGCTAGCTAGCAGCTATTTAGAAACTATTCAGCAACTATTTGGAAGCTATTTAGCAGCTAGCTAGCAGCTCGCTAGCAGCTACTTAGAAGCTATTCAGCAACTATTTGGAAGCTATTTAGCACCTATTTAGTAGTTATTCAGCAACTATTTGGAAACTATTTAGCAGCTAGCTAGCAGCTATTTAGAAGCTATTCAGCAACTATTTGGAAGCTATTTAGCAGCTAGCTAGCAGCTATTTAGAAGCTATTTTGCAAGCAAAGGAATTTAAATGAATTTAAGGGGAGAATTTAAATGACGTTTAATTTCAAGGAATTGAAAGGAATTGGAAGTCCCATGTCATGGGGTAAATTTGTTTTTTTTTTCTCTTGAAAAGGAATTGGAAGTCCCATGTCATGGGGTAAATTTGTTTTTTTTTTCAGAATTTAGATGAATTTTAAAGTTTTTTTTAAAAAATAAGGAATTGGAATGATTCTATCAGAATTTGAAGGAATTTAAAGAATTTTTGTTAGCAAAATAAGGAATTGGAAGTCCCATGTCATGTGGTAAATTCGTCTTTTAATTTTCAGGAATTTAAAGGAATTTAAAGGAATTTGGTGGTTTTTGATTATTTGATTTCCATATTCAAATTGTTACAAAACATTGCAGTTAGAATATTTTTTAACAGTCCTGTAGCAAACAATCAACCTTTATATATAATATTGTTGGCATTTTAAAGGAATTTGAAGGAATTTGAAAGGAATTTAAAGGAATTTAAATGACTTTTAAAGGAATTTTAAGGGAATTTCAAGGAATTGAAGGAATTGGAAGTCCCATGTCATGTGGTAAATTCGTCTTTTAAGGAATTTAAATGAATTTAAATGAATTTAAAGGTATTAAAAAAATAAGGAATTGGACGTCCCATGTCATGTGTGAATTCTATTTTTAATGAATTTTAAGGACTTTAAATAATTTTAAGGAATTCAAAGGAATTTAAAGGAATTTGGTGGTTTTTGGCTATTTGACTTCTATATTCAAATTGTTTCAAAACATTGCAGTTAGAATATGTTTTAACAGTCCTGTAGCAAACAATCAACCTTTATATATACTATTGTTGGCACGCCAGCATTGTTGGCTACCAACTATTAATATAAATGTGCCAGCATTGTTGGCTACCAAATATCGATTTATATATATATATGTATATATATATATAAACCATTCTTGATTCCAATTGGATATCTTGCTGGTGATAAAATATGCACCCAACCAGCCCAATTGCAACAAACCACAAGTATTTCACAAAATCATTGCACTTAGAATATTCCTGCATGTAGTATGGTTGTATGTGTATATGTGCTCTAAATACCTGCGTTAAGAATAGCACAATGTTTGCATATAGAATTAGAAATATAATATATGTATATATGAATGTATCATATGCATCGCGTGCAGACTCCATGACTGGAAAGATGGTGGATGTGTCGTTGAGGCTGAAAGGTTGCGTAGATAGGAATAGATCTGTATTTGCTGTAGATATCATCCACAAAATGAAATGTTTCATAGCCAAACAATTCCAAATCCATCAAACAAATATAGATGTTTTACACAGGCCATGCACTTAGAATATTATGGAGTCTCAAGCCAGGGCTTGCTTTGCGAAAAAAAATGGAGGTGTTTCACAAAATTGATGCACTTAGAATATTCTCAAGATCATTATACATTTAAAATCATATATGTTTTGAATATTCTATCTGCATATCCAGGCTTGCACTTAGAATATTCTCAGCAGGGAGCCCGCAGCTAATTAATTTGGCTGGAAGTTGATTGACTTAATATTCTAAGTGCGGGTCCTTTAGTATAAACATCTTAAACATCTTATCTAGTAAAAATATGGTAGGAATCATGTAAAATCCTAGAATTAGATTCATGATGAACGACTTTTCTATGTCTTTAGACGGTTTTCTCAAGCGGAATGACCTCCTATCAGCGTCAGGCACTGGCTGGCCGTGCTGCGCGGGGAGACCACCGCTACTGCGCCGGCCGAGTACGTGGCGGGGTTGTTCGACGGCTACGCAGAGACTGGGCGGCAGGGGGGGATATACAGGTTTATATAGGGGACAAACCTTAATGGAGGGTTGCTTCATGAAAGGTTACCATCGTTTACCATCCATCCAACTAATTTAGAGCCTTCAAAATAGTGGGTTTGACGATGTTTGAAGACTGCTGTCCTCTAAAAAATGGTGATCCTGAGGGCATTTTTTACTTGGGAGGATGGTAATTGTTACAAGACCATGCATAGGGGAAATAATAATCTAATTAGTTAGACTAGTGACTTTCGTGGAGTGCAGGGTTCGGAAGATAAAGCATGATATCAGCGTTTTGGCTGGAACTTTTCGGGGAATGATGGACCATAGCTGCCATAGCTGCAGTAACTTCTCTTGGAATATCAGAAGGATATCCCGCAGTGACCAACTGCGCATCGCATCTCGTGGCGACCGCCCGTGTCGCTTCTCGGTAGGAACGCTTCGATAAACATTTGGTGGAGACCTTGGAGTATCGAACGCCACAGCTCTTGGCTGAAGAACTGGAGCAGGTGCCATGGATCGTTGCGATGTGGAAATAGGTGGGATGGGATGGAAATAACATGATTTCTGTGGTAATAAATCCAACATAGTCCAACAACAAACCATCCAGTCAACCAACCATTTTGAATCATTGTTGACATTACTTTTACACCATCTCAGTCATAGGGTGTAGAAAATATCATCCCTTCCCACTAATACTAAACCGTCCCGCCCCTACCCTAATAAACACCTGGTTTTGCAATGCTTTGCATGAGTTTGCCCAGAATTATCCAGAATTGAAGTATAACATAGTACCGTACCGTACAACCCCTACAAAGCCAGCTTTGCATGGAGTAAAATGATGATGAGATAAACCATTCGATTTTGAGAAAAAAATGATTTTCGGAACTACCACATGCTGTTGCGAACAAACACGGAACCAGAACCAGATGGCCACGACATTGGTAACATTTGGTAACCATTTGAAGCACCCAGGATGCTGACCAGCCAGTTCTATTTCAACGCTGCGCCGACTTGGGCTGTGGAATCTGGGTCAGATCGGAGCAGGCCATCCTCAATGGCTTCCAATGGCTGGTCAATGTGATCCCCAAACGGTAGGTTTATGGCATTGGGTGTACCACATAATAAGGTCACGTCAGATGTTTTCTTTATAATTACACCGTTTTTGCTAGGAACTGTTCGTTCCATACCTTCTCTATACTTTCCATTGTTGCATGTGACTGGGTATATTCCGTGTATACACATATGCGCACGGATATATCACGTACGTATGTATATATATATATATATATATTACATGTATGTATAGCTGCATGAAGTAGCCATGGTTTGTCGCCCCATGATGGACGCACCAGAAAAGCTTCGCTATCTTCACTCAGGAACTGGCTTGATGGGTCCGCTTCTCAAAGACTTGGGGGTTGAGCACCTGGAAGGAGTGGATTTGTCGTCCAAGATGCTTCAGGTGCGGAGACATGCGGAGACTGCCCAGGAGTCATCTCGGACCTGGACATTGTCGGAACTGAATTCGAAGATTGACCCCACAAAGTCATAAAACAGGTTGCTCCCATACTGAGAAGATGCCCCAGTATTGCATCATAACTCCCCAATTGTTGCTGCTTATAATTCCGTTTTCAGTTTGCATCCCTAGCAGCCTTGGCATATTAGATCTCTATTGCATCGGATAGCAGCGCTTTTTATGGGACGTTCAGCCACCAAGTATTTAGTGGATATTTTGTTATTTGTAATCACCATTTGGGGTTTCCCACCCGTATCCCATCAAATTATAATTTTTCTGGACGAACAAACCACCAACAACAAAAACATGTGGTATTTTTACTCTTCCAATTAAATAACCACTCATATCTACAAAAAAACATCGATTCTTAAAGTACCCACAGGAATCAGGATGAATCAGGCCGAGTGTTGCTGTAAGATTCGAATTTTCTCATTTCTAACCGTCCAACCCTTTTTAGATCATTTATGGATGATTTTCCCATTCTTCAATTTGGTTCTTTTCCAGGTCCCGTTCCACTCACGATTTCGGTATGTCAGGTGGCGCGCGAGAAGCAGCGCGGCTACGATGTCTTGCTTTGTGGCGACCTGGTGGAGATCTTTGATGAGACAAAGAGCTTTGACCTGGTGGTGGCAGCAGATGTCTTCGAACTTTGGCAGGGATTGACGGATTGACCAGGAAAGAAAGTGATGAGATGTCATGAGGATAGCAAGCCCGAAATAGAGTAACATTGCTCTCTTGGAAAGTGGTAAATTACCCTACTTTTTAGACTCGGAGAGGATGGGAAAAACATGGAAACACCAATTGAATTCTGCCTAGGGCATGTTCCACATGTGCACACTTTGATTGGCAAAATATAAACTTAGCCACCAAAGGGACGGCTTAAAATCATCAAAGCGATGAACCTTTCCCCAAATCCACCCACTCACGGTTCAGGCATAAGTTGCGGTGGCACAATTCTATTGAAACACTGAAGCTTCCTTGGGCAATTTTAAGTCCTAGATATATTCACCTCATGGACCAAGAAACAAAAAAGAGGCGGTTGGAGTGCCTTTTGCTGCGACTCCTCTGGAGGTGTGCAGTAAGCAGATGGAAATCAAGCACCAAATCAACAACTCCATTCTTTTGTTCAGCGAAAACTAAGGCAATCTTACTGTATACTGCACTGTTCCAACTTAGTCTCTTTCCTTCGAATTCCAAGCCCATGTTCTGTTTCAGGATGTTTCAGGTTAAAAAGATTTGAAAAGGGTTCCGCATTTGCTTTGGCTTTGGAATTCTTCATTGTGTTCCGAAATCGAATATGTTGCTGACGAACATCCGCATATTTAGTTTTTTAAAGCCTGAATGAATCCAAATTTGTCTTTCCTAGAATCATTTGTATTAATGCTGCTAACACCAACTTTCAATGGCGACACCATGGCACATCCTTTTTTGTAACATGTTCCTCTGTTCTTCCCAAAAAAAAGCGCGTTTGTTTTATCGCAGCCCTGGTGCTCCTTTGAGGCTTGTGCGAAGGTGTTTGGATCCCCCAAGGTTCGTCCCCAAATTAATCAGTAGGGATCCCATCATATTCTCAAAGTTTGGTAGTAACACCGTGATGTTTACCCAGTAACTACATGTAACTACCCAATTTGTCCTCATTCACCATTTATTTCTACCATAAACGCGCCCCCAAGAGAAAATCCAGATCAAAATCCTGCAAGATAAAGTTATAAATGTCCATTAAAAAAATCATAAAAATCCAAGTGTTCCTAATGTTTCATCAAACTTTTCCCGCATTTTTCCTATGGTTTTGGCCAGGTATATTTGGGCGACCTCTCCAGCGTGCTACACGCCTGCGCTCCACGGAGTTGTGGCCTTCAGCACTGAAGCACCACCGCGCAGCGGTGGCGCCAACGAACACGAGGGGCAGCTAGCGGAGGCATCAGCTATTAGCGATCTTCCCAATACTCCCACCCCAAAATATTTAACATCCACATTATAGGGTACAATAGGGGTCCAATCCCACCCTGACAGTATGATTTTGGGGGCCAATGACCAATCACATCCGATACCCATTGTATATTATTAGCCATATTAGCCTTTAACATACAGTATTGCATGATATATGGAGATGACAGAACATAATTTGCGTAATTGAATGCCTCAAAATGAGATGCTTTGCCATTCCCTTCCGGATGTCCTTGTTCTGCGCCAGGGGACCTTCAAATTGGCTGAAACAGGGAGATACATCCACACTGCGCCTTGACAAAACTGCATCTATTATTGCGGTTTGCACCCTCACAAATCGAAACCCAAAACATGTTTAATTAAAGATATTGATGTTATTTTTTTGTATATATAGATGAATAACAATGAATATTCACTGATGTTTTGTTATTTGATGATTTCTGATGTTCTATTAACATGACATATAAATGGCTCTTGCTAACCATATGATAAACATCACTTAAATATGCCATTTGAACTTGGGAAATGTATATGTGTTTTAGATAAAACATGATAAAACACTGTACCCTCCTGTAAACTAGCAGAGTTATGGAGAATGGCCATAGATGATTTACCTACTAAAATGGTGATTTTCCACAGCGATGTTAATGAATTACCAAAGGGTGTGGGGTGTACCATCTTGGAAATCATCCAATTAATATACCAGTAATATAATACCATTAAACCCTATCAAGTCCTATGAACATGATAATATTCCCCCGGTTCCGCCACAGCCTTTTAGGCCTCCTATGTCCGACACTGTGCGGAGAATTGTGGTCTGAAGTGCCCTGGCATGGGCGTCGTTTCTGGGTGATGTGGACATCCCATGTCAGTTGTAATGTGCGAGTTCATGGTGGATATTAAGGATCCAAAATGGTTGCTATTACTTACAATTTGGTCATGAAAAATCATGAAGAATGGTTGATTTCACCAATCAAACTGTGGAATTTGCCCGTTGGTAATTTGTTCCAGTTAGCTATAGAAAATCATATTTAAGATAGAAGGTAGATCATCGAACTACATGAAGCTTCAACAATGGTTGGTTGGAATTCCACCCAGTTATAAAAGTCATTGGGGATGATTTAGGGCATTCGGTTTGCTACATTTTGCTACACGATTGAGGGACTTCACGGATTTTCTTGCAATTCTACAATGAAAGACCCATCTCTCCCAAGTTTCCATGCACTTTGCCGCCAATACTCACGGTCGGGACAATTTCATTCCTAGGCTTTGGAAGCGGAGAAATGTTTCTCGGCGACAAAGTGAGGATCAATAGCCCAAGACATCCATCAACATCTGTTTTCTTAGTGTTAGATGTGGTAGCTGGCGACCCAGCACATCAGCACATCCCATATGATAGCCTATATGTATGCCTATGTGCTTTGCCCACACTTATCTTATCATTATTTAGACTGATTTACTACAGTTGACTCCTTCCTTGCATTTCTTTTTTTGGCTGAGATCCACTAGATCCACATGATGTACAGCCAGGTGGTCCTGCGCAAAAATGGAGGCAAACCCGTCTATGGCCAGTTGCACGTGCTCCGCAAGATGTGACCTCTAAGAGAAACTCAAGAGCGTTGAGTGTTTCACGCGGGGGCAGCGACCGGATGGATTTGTTGTATATACTTGTCATACACGTGTGCAATATATATATAATATATATATATAATTATATACATAAGGGGTGCCTAATGGATTTCAAAAATTGAGATTCTCAAGGGGTGCCTGATGGACACCCCTTAGTGTTCATGGAGATGACACACTAGAAAATTATTATATAGTTCCATCCCGAAATCTTCCAATCCTACCCGCGTGGCATCTGTAGTGCACCTGACTTCATTTTTGGCGAGAAGAAATGCATGTGTGTCATTTCGTGTCAGATGTAAAATGTTCCCGAGTTTTAAGCAAACCAGTCAAAATCGTCACAAAATGACACGCGCAGGGGTTGTCCAAAAAGCACCCGACACGTTTCTAAGGGGTGCTTATTGAACACCCGTTTGCCTAAGGGGTGCTTATTGGACACCCCCTACCGACCGACACGACACGGCAATAACACGCGATGACACACATGTTTATTCTTGTTTTTTTTTTTAAACTCGTGACCCCTTTTGACCGACACGACACGGCAATGTCATGAAATGACACGCATTTCTGGAAGCAAACGTGGGGAAATCAAAGAAAAATGCACATACTACATCATACTACTATATGAATACCTCATTATCTGTTTGTTCAGGACCTTACAAATTAAGGGGTGCCTAATGGACACCCGTGCTAAGGGGTGCTTATTGGACACCCTTTTGGACATCCTGGTGCACATGTATTGCATATATGTATATATATATATATATGAAGGCATATAACATGACATATGCCCCTGTGCGTGTGTTTACAAATATGCTACTTGCAGATAAATTTAATGGCCATCAATTCTAAGAAACATTGCGTTTGATGTAAAAAAAAAACATGCATCGAGGCAACCTTCTTGTCAGCCCCAAACGGCTCTTCGTGCTTAGAGCCAGCTCAGCACAGGCAGCTGCTCCTAGCAAGAAATTCCGATGGGACAAGACGCCCATGGTTATCATGTGGTCATGACGTGGGAAAACCAGGGGGAAACCGTTTCCGTGTTTGAGCAGGTTGCGTGTCCAAAGCCAAACATCAAGTTGTTCTCGCTCTCGCTTGAGATGTCAAGATGAACATCAAGACAATTAAATTGGATAAGTTGGTGGACAATGTAGCTCCGAACTGCAGGACAAAAAACAGGGTGACTGAAATGAGATGAAGTGTTGATACCAAACGCTCCTTTGCCAGCAGAAGCTTGTGCCCCAGTCCTGTAGGGATACTAGCCCAGGCTTGATATCACAACATGCTTAGGAGTTGGCTGAGTTGACTGTGGGAACGGACACCGGACAACATGACTTATAGATACTTTGAGACTTATAGAAAATAGACAAACATAATGCAAATGCTCTAACTGGCAGATGTCAAAAACTTCCAAACTTGGCTTCCTGAATTATTGATGTGTTTGATCCTCAGGAGTATCATGTCATGAGTGGTGACTCCGTTAATGGTCGGGGGTTTGCCCGCATTCAGCCAGGGGTTGTTCCTGGGTTGACAATTGTTGACAACTGGATGCCCCGCATCTCGCCAGAATTTGGATTTGGACATAGGTTTTATATGGATTTACAATGATTTATCGAAGGAAGTTTAGAAGTCAAACTTCCGACAATATGGAGAGATGAAAAGCAGAGCAGGGCAGAGGCAGAGAGAAGAGGAAGATTAGAAGAGAGAAGATCAGAAGAGAAAGAGTAAGAAGACAGAAGATACAGATGCGCGAAAAGGTAGGAAAGTCGCGAAACACTGTGTTTTTCCAATGATTTGTGGATCCGGAGGGTCGAAAAGTAGGCTCGCTAAAGCGGCGGGTGCGGAGCCAGCTGGCCAGATGAGAGATGAAAAAATGCACGCCGTTGTGGCGCGAAGCACATTTCGAAGTCAAAATGTACAACGCACACCAGGCCCGGACCACTTTTGGCAGTTGCGATGTCGAAAAAGCGCACGCCGTTGTGGCGCGAAGCACATTTCGAAGTCAAAATGTACAAAACACACCAGGTCCGGACCACTTTTGGAAGTTGAGATGTCGAAAAAGTGCACGCCGTTGTGGCGCGAAGCACATTTCCAAGTCAAAATGTACAAAACACCGCAGCTCCGGACCACTTTTGGAAGTTGTGATGTCGAAAAAGTGCACGCCGTTGTGGCGCGAAGCACATTTTCAAGTCAAAAGTGTTAAAAACTGACGGTCTCGGACCACTTTTGGAGGTTCAGATGTCGAAAAAGTGTCGAAAAAGTGCACGCCGTTGTGGCGCGAAGCACATTTGGAAGTCAAAAGTGTATAAAACTGAGGGTCTTGAGCCTTTTTTGACGTGCTGATGTCGAAAAAGTAGACACTGATTAACTTAACTAACTTGACTAACTTAAGTAACTTCACTAACTTAACTACCCTAACTTCGACGACAACAGCAACAACAACAACAACATCAACTACAACTACAACTACAACTACAACTACAATTACAACAACTACACAACAACTACAACTACAACTACAACTACAACAACTACACACCAACTACAACTACAACAACAACTACAACTACAACAGCTACAACAACAACAGCAACAACAACAACAACAACAACTACAACTACAACAACAACTACAACTACAACTACAACTACACAACAACTACAACTAGAACTACAACTACAACAACTACAGCTACAACAACAACAACAACAACAACAACTACAACTACAACTACAACTACAATAGATCGATAGATGGAGAGATAGATAGATAGATGGATAGATAGATAGATAGATAGATACATCGATCGATGCAAAGATCGATACATGGAGAGCTAGATAGATACATAGAGAGATAGATAGATAGACGGAGAGATAGATAGAGAGAGAGAGATAGATAGACAGGTCGATAGATAGATAGATAGATCGATAGATAGATAGACAGACAGGCAGGCACGCAGATAGACACCACTGCACTACATTACACTACCTTCCATTACACTTCACTACATTACACTACACTACACTCCACTACACTACAATTACAACTGCAACTGCACAACTACACTCCACTACACTACACTACACTGCACTCAATTACACTCAATTACACTACATTACATTACATTACACTACACTCCACTACACTACACTACATTACACTACACTACTCCCACTACACTTCACTACATTACACTACACGACACTCCACAACACTACAACTACACCTACACAACTACACTCCACTACACTCCACTACACTCCACTACACTCCACTACACTCCACTACACTCC